TTTTATCCCTCTCCTTCCGTTTAGGGTTTTTTCATCTTTTTTTTCTTCCCTCACCTCGGGATCAGCCACGACTCCCCCGTCTCCGCGGGACGTCGTGCATCGGATGGAACAAAGGATCGGGATAAAAAAAAAATGAAGAAAAAAAAAAAGCGTAAAGGATTTCCCGGTCAAAGGGAACCGCGGCGGACGTTTCGCGGAGCGGCGCGAAAAGCCGCCTTGGCGGCTCGCCCGGCCTCGTCGGCGACTTTATCGGGAAACAATTTTTGCCGGTGTCAGCGATCCACCTTCGGGAACAAAAAAAAAAAAAGACTCTCATTGTCGCCGGAGGCGAGCCGGGAGCCCCGAGAGCTCGACAGGAAGTCCGTGTTTGTCCCGGACGAGGTCTCGCGTGACAATTGCAACAATCCACGAGGTCGGGAAAGGAGCGTGGAAAGTGAACGCGTGCGGGGAGAGAGAGGGAGAGAGGCGGTGGGCATGGGAGAAAGAGAGATGGACAACCAACGACGGACTTCGCTCCAGAGGTTAGTTACTAGGTCCCAGGGTGTTCCGGAGAGGGAGAGAACGAGCGATGACATAAAAAGTAAAAAAGAATAGGATCATATTTAATGACTTTATATTTCCAGGGAGGGAAGCGAGGGTGGAGGAGAAGAGAGATGGAACGCTTATCAGCCACGCGGATCCAGCTTATCGGTCGTTGTCCAGATAATGAAAGAAGTAATCTACCGTATGAATAAAATTTACGAAAAACTGTGCCTGGATTATTAAAGGTGGATGTGAATAGGGATTAATTGTAAAAGGGAAGGATTAGGGTTGAAGACCGATAAATATAGAGATTTCTAACGTCAGTCTCGAAAGAAAGGTAACACCAATGGAAGCGTTTACGGGAATTTTAATAATATCGAAACTAAAGGATGAATGTGAGTAGTAATTGAGGGTAGAAAAAACGAAAAAGCGTTTCACTTCCCGTATCGCACCCCTTTTATGACTTCCGGGTTTACAAGTAATACCGTGCCAGAAGTTTCCCTTGAAAAAAGATCCGCCACCAGGACTGCAAACGCGCCGCGTTGGTAATGACGGAGGAAAGGGGGCGGGTGATTAAGGAAATTCGATTATTCCCAATATCGACCCGCTGGGATGAATTTAAGGGGGTTATCCCATGCGAAGGCTCCTTTTTTTTAGCTTTTTTCGGCAATTTTTTCACGGGGAACTACTTCGAATATCGGAAAATCACTTTGCCCACATATTCTACACTACGTTTGGAACGCAATTTATGCAACAAAGAAAATTCGAATTTTTAAACCAATAACACGGGATGACCCCCCTAACCGCTTTCCCGAAATTTTCCTCCCGCAGCGCGGCCTGGCCGTCTCCGCGAGTAATTGCACGGGCGGTCCAATTTTTCTTCCCGATTTTCTCCCGCTTTTTTTGTCTCTCTCCCCCTCTCGCTCATTCGGTTTTCCTTTTCTCCCGCTCTGTTTCCGCGGCCGCGCTCGTCGCTCCGCCCGGCCGGAAAATCCGTCGGATGATCCCGGAAGACTCTCCGCGTTTTCGGGAGGACGCGCCGCAGGGAGAGGCTCAGTGTCGGATTTTTACTGTAGGCAAAATAAGGAAGAGGGAAGAAAGAAGGGAGAGTCAACCGCCCAACAAATTGGAGCCCGCGTTCCCCAGGGAGCGGAGATAACCCGCGGGATGCGCGCGGATTACGCGCCCTGGAAATCCGAAAAAAAAAAAAAAAGGGAACCGAGTCATCCCGAAATTATGATCCCCCTTCAGACACGAATTTTCCCAATGGTAGCGCAACCCTTTCATTCTATAAAATTGTACCTCTCGCTATTACAAATATCTATAGAAAATTTAGTACACATCGTCTATTGTTTCAACATACAATATTTCGAAATTTCGTGTTAAATTTTACCTCTCGCTGTTAGAAATATCTACCCAAAATTTAGTATACATATCGAGTTTCGTTTCAAGATACAATATTGCGAAATTTCGTGTTAAATTATCTATTTAAAATATTCAATATTCATATCGAGTCTCGTTTCAAGATACAATATTTCGAAATTTCGTGTACACTTGTTTTCGCATTTTTCAATACACAAGTGTACGAATTTCCGGATTTTATATACTTTTCGAAATCGCTTGTGTACTGATCTTCGATCACGCACAAGTACACAATTGTTGTTTGAGAAAAGCGCGCTGTAACAACACATATTAACAATTACCGATTGCTTTTCCCATCTCACCGTTTTATAAAAAAAAAAAAAAAAAAAAACGGAATACTCTACGAATTCTCGCGTAGAAATTCTATCCCCAAAATATATTACAAATCGTTTTTCACCACGAGTGCCGCTGCTCCCGGTTTAGGTACACATTTGTATTCAAAAGCGTACAAGATTTCGAGTACTTTAACCCGACCGCTCTTTCAGAGACGAGGTCGTTCGAAGTTCGGTATATACATTTGTCCGGTTTCCATTTGAAGTACCGTGGTTGCCGGTTTCGGTATACATTAACATCCGAGCAGCCTTCGAAATTTCGAAACAATTTCAAGAGTACTAGAAGGAGACACTTTGACCGCTCGAATCTAAAACGGAAAGAAAAATCGCCTAAGCGGAAATTGGCCCGAACGAATCCCCGCCAGTTAAAAAACGCCTCGCCATATCCGCATATACGTCCATATAAATACNTATACATAAATTAAAAATCGCAAAATTACCACGCCAACGAAATCCCCTCTAATCTTGGCCTCGGCGATCGCGTGAGGCGAACTCGAAGCTAGTTCGCCTCGCGAGATCGATTTCTCTCGGTCGACCAACCCGGCTCTCCATTATACGCCGGACAATTTACCATATCGCGAGTTTATACCGTATATTTCGAGCGTGAAGCACGAGAGAGCGGCCCGATCGGCCGAGAGAGGGCGAGAGGCCGAAGCTGCACCGCGCTCCATTGACTTGGACTTGATATTATATAAGCTTCCCTTATCAGAGTATCGTGTAAAGGGGTCTCTTAAAATTCGAGATAAAATTCGAAGCTATTGGGATCCTGACCCTGGACCCTTCTATAATAATATCGAGAGCCCGAAAAACTGATGTTGCATCCGAGCACCATTGACTTGGGGTGATAAGCATGTATTATCAGAGTACCGTGTAAAGGGGACTCTTAACATTGAAGGTAAAACACCTCGGTGAAGGACCTAAATCTATTCAATATCATTACTTAGGATCCTGTCTCATGATAAGACCATCTCGCAAAGAGATCGAAATTGCATCTTGTTCCGATGTTGATAAGCGCTATTTGTCATGTTGACCCCGCACCGCAATCCCTTAAAACTCCTTAAAAATCCATTAAAAATCCTTAAAATTCGAGGCAAGACCTTCCCACCCGAGGTCCATATTCCAGACATTCCAGGACACCCCTCGGAGTCCTGTCTCGCGGTAATAATATCCCACGAACCCGGGGGATGGATGATTCCCAGGGGGCGTCCGCGGTCCGCTCGTGCGGATGGGTTCTCCGTACAGGAGCGGCGGTCCCGCGTCTCTCTAAGGGGCTGATCGATCGCCCATTCCCAATATCTCGTTCTTCGACTCGTTGAACCCGACCGGCTCAAAGTACGAGGCGGGGATACCCCTCCCCCGAGAACGGAGGGCAACCCTGTCGAGGAGGACCCCCCCGAGGGGTAAGGGGGAGCCTCGCGCGAGTCGGGATGCTGGCCTCGTCGATTTCGAGTACCGTCCGATGGACCGCGAGGGCCGGAAAGGAGGAGAACCGGGGAACGAGGAGTGAGATAGAGAGAGATAGAGAAAGACGGTCCTAGAGGGGGCAAACCTCTCTTCGAGGCGGCGTTCCTCGTCTCTCGCGAGAGACGATCGATGACCGAGCGCCGAACCGCGAAAGGGAGGGGAAGTCATTTCTCGCGGGGGTGGAGGGTCTGCGGAAACTCCAAACGCGACGGGATTTACTTATAAGAGATATTCATAATCGTCGGTCTCCGGCATCCCGGTGGACGGCGACGAGTGGGCGCCGTTGGCCGGACCGGACGGAAAAAGGGGGCCGCGTTTTTCGCGCGATCGGCGGCGACAGGGGGGAGGGGGGGGGACGGAGAAAAATATGAGAAGTGTCGCCAGGAGGGTGGAAAGGCACGCGGAATCGCTGGCGCAGCGGATGGGGAGAGACGCCGGGGATAAACTTTTTCCCTAAACATCGAGACGCGAACCTCCCCCTCAGAGGGGTCGACGATCCGCCCCGGTCGCCGCCGACTCCGCGACTGATCCGGCCGGCCCGCGCCGCCCAACTTTATACGTCACCCGCGGACCTTAAATCGCCCGGTCGGATCCGGAGCCGGGGGACCGCGGAAACCGAGAGCTCTTTCTCTTCCGTCGGGAGACGTCACGGAGGGACGACTTTCTCTCTCGACCGTAGAAAATACCCTCCCTTCGATCGCCCTTCCGATAGAACCCTAGATACCAAAACTCGGGGGTCTTTATCGGGAATATCAGAGAAATGTCATAATTCAATGGCAATTATAATATAATTCAAGCCTCGATTGACGATCATATCCCTAGACGCTGTTATCCCCTTTGCCATTATCGCGTATCTCGAAATGGCGATGGATCTCCACCACGTGGACCGCTTATCATCTACCGAGGGTTATCATACACGCAGGAAAAAAAAAAAAGAGACTTGCATCGCTCAACAAAATCGCCCGGGTAATTTCATAAAACCTTCCAACTGAGGGAATCGAATTTCAATTCACTTACACTTGTCGTTTCGATCACCGGAAGAACTTTCATTACTTTAGAAATCATTTCAGTCGATAAACCAAATCTTTCATTAAGACGTATTGAATCCCTACGACACTGAACATGACCTACCGCAATATCTGCCACGATCAAGGGAAATTAATTAACGAAACAATCACACGTATAGTATTAACTAAGTATTAGATTTTTCTGCGTGTATAAACTCATCTCGTGAAAAAAATAAAAATCGTCATCACTGACCTGTCCATGATAGTCGAAGCCGTGTTTCTCGGCGATGGCGGCTGCAGTTTGGGGTCCTTCGGGCACGTGGATGGCGAACTGGTTCGAGTAGATCACCGCCGGTCTTCGGGGTCTCGGAGGGGTCCCGGGGGTCCCGGAAGTCCCAGCGCATCCGACCAGGAGGATCGCGAGCCACGCGAGGCTCGCTCTAGGGCTCATCGTCCCCGACTGGCGAGCTCCTTCCACTTCAGGGTCGTCGTGCCAGGAGGCCGGGTCGCCACGAGGACGACGGGGGTCTCCGGGTCTCTCCTTCGGGTGCCGGGGCGGCCGAGGGACGCGCCAGGTGCACCAGGTGCGGGAGGCGCGGCGACAGGTGCGCCGGGCGGACCCGCGACGACACCCCTGCGACCCGGGCGACGCCTCTGGAGGCGCGACGTCGTCGCAGCCGCTCGGGAACTGTCACGGAGCGGAGGCACCACGTGGCCTCGGCTCTCGCGAGCGAGAGTGACAGCCAGCTGCGGGCGGCGCGACAAAGAGAGGGACAGACGGCGCCTGGGACCAACGAGAGGGAGGAGGACAGGGACAGAGGAGGTCGCGAGAGGAAGACTGGTAAGGGGGGTCAACGGGGACCGAAAAACTGAGAGAGACGAAAGGTGGGAGGAGGGAATTAAGGACGGTGCGCGCCCGACAGTTCCCGAGGGACGACGCTCCGGGATTCGAGCCCCCTTCGCCCGACGATCACTGCCTGAAACACGAAACAGGGATTGTCAGAATCTCCGAATATCATTCCGGAGACGTCACGCGGGATCATTTAAAGGGGACGTGAAAGTCGCACCCGAAGAGCCAATCGTTTATGAAACTTCTCTCCGAGATGGGTGTACCGAAATCGTTTCAAACTTTACAATGTGGTAACAGGTAAGTTATGCGCCATAGAAAAGAAAATCAATCGTCATTAGCGACAAACTCATTCTCCGCCGCATTAACCATTACCTGCCGGTTTTACAGGCCTATAAGAAGTGATCGGTTTAAACATTACTCAGGCATGAAAATGGTAATTGCTAATTACATCCTTGCCATCCTGTTCGACACGTTGACAGTCCCGTCACCCATATTTGGGTGACACAGCAGTCGAATAAGATGCGCGTGGCAGTCAACGTGTTAAATTAGAATGTCGCTTACTTGCCAAGCATGAAATGTGGAAATGTGAAAAAGCAATCGATGGGAATTTTTGTTCCTCCCTCATGAACGAAGTTCCATGGACCAGGAAGGAGAAGGAATGATACACGAGGTCGGAACTTTTTTGCAAAAAAAAAAAGAAAGAAAAAAAACCATCACGCGCGATGTCAACGGAAATACGTGTCCCTTATAATAAAGGATCGCAGAGTCGGACGCATGAATCGCGCTAAAAGAAATATATTAAAAAAAAAAAAATTAAAAAGTTAGAGAGAGACCATGTCAGGCGCCGATTCCAGGGGGAAGGCGAATTCGCCCCTCGCCTCGGGACCGCTCCTCTCGGTCGCAAGTAAGCCGTCGAATACCCTTTTTAATTCCCTCTCTTTTTGCCTCCTCGACTCCTTCCTCGCCCCGCATTCGGGGCGCTTTCTTCCGGCCGCGGCGGGGCCGCACGTCCGCCCTGCGTTTCCGTCCAATTCCGTTCCGACCGGCGGGACTCGAATGGAACCCGCGGACGACTCCTGAGCTCGGTCTCTCTCGGAGTCGGCTTTATCATACGTTTCAGACCGTCCCAAGAGAGAGAGAGAGAGAGAGAGCTCCCTTCGTTCCCGAGGGAAGAGTCCTCCCTGGCGCATCGAAATCCCGTCCAACCCTCGAAAATAATTCCCAATTTGATCCCCCCGGCGGAAACACGTGCGCGCCCCTTTCGCGGCGGGGAAATCAATTCTTTTTCAATGAATCCCCCCCTCGTCGCCCCGACCGACATCCGGAAACCCGCGGCGGAACAGCTGGAAATCGCGATATCGGTTTCCACTCTCTGCCCGTTGTGTCCAAGTCGCGGAAATTCGAGACCGATTAGCCCGGGAAATTATCAACGAGAATCCCCCGACTACCATCGAGAGCATAGGCGAAACTCTACGAGCCCATCTCTTTTTTTTTCCCACACGAATCCCGGGAAAAAAAGAAGAACAATTACGCTCCTCTCTTATCAGCCTGACCTCCCCGCGCGTGTGAGATATATTTGATAGCTCGAAAAAAAAAAAGAAATGAAAAACAAAAAAAGACCTAACAAACAAACAAAAACCTTCTACATACCAGACACGCTCTGGCGCGCGCAAAATTGCTCGCCAGGCCGGAAGGAAAATAAAAAAAAACAGAAATAAAGCGAACAAATAATATATATATATATAGAATGAATTAAATGAATAAAAGGCGTTAATCGAATTCATGGAATTCCGGGAAAAGGGAGCTTTTCCTCTATTATCCCGACTATTTCGGGACACTGGAATCGGCTATGCGAAAATGGGAAAATCTCGAATTCCAGCAAGGAGCCCTCGGGAGACAAAGGAGTCCCGTGTACACGCAATGTGCGTGTACACGTACACACGCAGGTTCACGTCGAATAACTAGAGGGGGGACTCGGTATTAAGTTGCACCGAGAGCAGCCGTGCCAGCGGAAAGAGCGAGGGCGTGCGACGGACTGTGACACTCGTAGATAAAGCGAGCTGGCCGAGACGCGATTCCTCCCCATCGACGGGGACCGAGCGTATTTCTCGACCCGGCGTCGCGACGCCGAGGACCGCCCTCGTATACACGCGTACACGCGCGATAAGTACCGAGCGCCACTTCCTGCCCTCTCCTTTCGATCGTGGATAGATACCGATGCACCAGATACATTGATAATGGGTCGCACATGAATAAGATAAGGTTGATAAGCCGATGAGAAATGGACCGAGAAAATTAATCTCGATAAAAAAGGAATTTTCTTCGGGCGTAAGACGAAGCATCGGGCCACATTATCAGCATTTATATTTATATTCACGGTGTTTAGGTGTATACCTTCGCCCTGTTCGGGAAATCCCTTGGATTCCTGAAATTTGCATATCTACCCAGCTACTTAATATGGATCGACGGCGCCATCTGTTGCATTCGGCGGCAATTAAATCTCGGTAACATGGGCACTAACAGCTCTTGCTCCTGGGATACCCAAGAGTTCCAGCGGATTGTCGATGAGAAAATGTTTCTCAAGGATGGAATTACGAGGGGAACGGGAACTTCCTCGTGACACCCATGGCGACGCGGTGAAGATTAATAACATTCCGAGGAAAGTCTTGTAAATAATTCCGGGCGTCACTGTCGGATCGCCGTAAAATGTATGATTTGGGAGGCGGGGAAAAAAAATGAAAATATCAAGCCCCTCGAAATCATCTCGTCGATTATTGGACCCGTCCATTTGCGCATGCGTAAACGGGATTAGCCGCGACTATTTGCATCTACTGGTGGATTATTAATTTTTCTTTGAGCGTGCCGCGCGCGAAATACCGGGGGGGGGGGGGGGGGGGCTCCTCTGGCGCGAATCGCGCCATGTTGACGCTACTTAGGACAATTTACGCAATGTTGACCTGGATAGTGTCAGCGCGGTGTTACGCGGCGTAAACCGCGGGCATTTGTCGTGCCATCACGTCAGCCGACGGTCCAATCCGTATCGACGCGTTCGACGGGATTTAAAACCAAGAGGGAGCACTAGAGTGCGGGAAAGAGAGAGAGAGAGAGAGATAGAGAGAGGGTATTAACCGATGACCAGAGGGGGACGAGAGAGGGAACCGGGCTATCGCTCTGCACGCGCTATACCTCGCTATAAACGCGCTATAACGCAACTCGGCTACTCTCGATCAGAGGACGCGTGACGTCACTTCGGATATAACCTCTTTTAATGGCGTCGCGCAGGGCCGCGTGACCCGCCACGAGGTCGAGCCGAGAAACGATTGAGAAAAGTCGGGAAAAACGAGGAGAAGCTTAGGAAAAAAGGCGGCTCATGCCTCTCTAATTTACTCACCCGGTAGATGCCTCGCCACTTGAAGAGGACGACCCCGAAGAAACAACGGAGGAAACTCCCGAATGCGAGGGACAAATTACGGAGTAAAGCCGCGAACCGTGCTCGCCGGGTCACCGAGGTCCGAGAAAGTCGGCGTCGGCCGTCGCGCGCTCCCATTGGCTGGCGGGGGTCACGTGGCCCGGGCCACGTGACACATCGCGGGGTCCGACCGTCGCCAACGATCGAGAAAACTCGGTGGAAAAAAAACTGTTTCGCGGCTCGATGAGTTACTCACCGCGTAGCTCGACGAGGAAGACCGCGAAGAAAAGGGAGGAAACTCCCGAATGCCAGAGATAAATTACGGAAAAACGGCGAGGCGCGCTCACTAGGTCGGGTGGTGTTCGAAAAAGTCGGCGCGCGCTCCCATTGGCTGGCGGGCCGTCACGTGACCCGCCCCACGTGACCCAACCCCACGTGACTCGCGCAACACGCCGCAAGAAGCCCCCGCGACCCGCAGGTGTCCCGTCCGCCGTCCACGTGAGTGCGGACTCTCCGCGAGCTTAACGTCGCGCGGAAACAATCGAGGCCGCGGTGACGTCACGGGTTACGTGATCGACGCGAGGGAGGGGAAGAACACCCGTGGAGAAGCAGAAACGCGAGCGCCCCCCTCTCCGACTCCCGGCATGACTCCGGATCCGGGGAAAAGGTCGGACAGCTCAGAGAGCAGGAAAACCCGCGGAAAGGGGGGGCCGCCGGGGGGGATACAAAGCGGCCGGACGTCGATGCCAGAGGGAACAAAGAAAATGGCGAAACGTAAATAAAACCGAGAAACGCCCCGCGCAGCCCGTTTCGAGGAATTAGGAATCACGTGTCGGCGCGCACACGTACGTCCGGAATTCGATCAGGTGTTTTCAACCCGCGGATATAGACTATCCTCAATTAATATAAACCTTTGATACAAGAAATTTAATATAACCCTCCCTGTAGCAGAACACCCTCGCGACCGAACAACTTATCAATAAATTGCAAATTAAACGTCAGGCCTACCCCGGGAGGATTAACTCCGCAGGTTTTGCGCGATATCATTTTTTTCTTTTTTTTAGGCGCGACTGAGAGCGTACAGAGGATATAGAGGGTTAAAACGAAGAGTCCGATGATGAAAATTCCCAAAGCGAGAACCGTCAAGAGTGGTATACCTAACGTAAGCGGTTTCGTCAGTCAGTGCTTTCCCATTGCGAATGGGATTGCGGATACGATTCCGATGCAAAAGAAAAAAGAAAAATAAACGAAAAAAAAAAAACAAATATGCAATCTGCGGAAAATCTCGCGTGGAGGCGGAAAACCTCGCGCGATGGCGGAAGCGATCGCCTAAAAAACGAGAGGGGAGGGGGGAGGCTTTTTCGCCGACGCGTTACACCCGTGGGAATCGGCGGGGTTTGATTCGGGGATGCTGTTACGCGGAACTTCCGGGCACCGCCGATACGTCATTTCCGGGATCCGCGGCGACCGGGCGTCTATCTCGGTGCGCGCGCGCGCGCCTCCGACGCGTCAACGGAAGCCAATAAACCGAGGACCGAGAGAGAAAGAGCGAGCGAGCGAAAAAGAGGGAGAGAGAGAGAAAGAGAGAGAGAGCTTGTGGAAACGCGCCAAGGGCTCGACTCGCTCGTTTACGTAACGGAACTCGCGGCGTTCCCTGACAAAAAGGACGAAACGGTGGGGTAAAACGAGAGAGAGAGAGAGAGAGGGGGGGGGGGAAAAGCGAGGAGACCCTTTCCGGTCCCTTTGAAAATAGGAAAAATCCAAAAGGTCCAGCGCGCTACATCCCTCTCTCTCCCGCGCGCGTTCGAGTCCATCGGTCGGTCTCCCTCACTCCCTGTGCGGGCGGTGTAAAACCGCGCGGCCGGGTATTATTAAATATTTCCTATATTAAATCCAAACGACCGGGCGCGCGTCCGCGGCATTAAAACGCGAGAGGGGGAGGGAGGGAGGGAGGGCCAGTAAAAGCCGCGAGAGGAGCCCGAGGGTCCTCGAAACTTTATTTCGAAAATGGAGCCGGCCGTCCCTTTCTCGCCGTCTTTTTCCCCGGAGGACGTGCTCCCTCTCTCCCTCTCTCTCTCGCCGCGGGACAAACGAGCGAACGAGCGTTCTCTCGCGTCGGGGAAAAATCGCGGAAAAAAGAAGTCAGCCGTCCCCGTTACCGGGAGGAGCTTTTTCGTTAATTAATTCGACGGCTCTCCCGGCCGATAAAGGGACGCCATAGGGCGCGCGAGGTGTGACGTCACGCCCGCGGTCCGGTCCTCGAGGGAGAGGGAACGAGAGGAGGGTCCGTCGTCGTGAATTTCTAAGGAAGAACGTAATAAGCAACGCTCTCTTCCGCGAATCCCTCGGATGCCGGGATGCGGTTTTCCTCCTGGATCCTCCCGGAACGCGATCAAAATTCCATCAGGAAGGATTACCCGCGCGTCCGCGCGCGGAACGCTAACGAAATTACAACGGCGATGCCGCGATCGGGATATATCTCGCGAGAGGGAGGGAAATAAATAAAATGGGGAAGAAGAAAGAGGGGAAAGAAATCGAGGGCTGGTGGACGAGGTCCTCTCTCTGGTACTATACTCTTCTTCGTCGGAGGACAGGGAGAGACCCCAAGGGGTATTCACTCAGGAAATCGTGATACTCGAAATCACTTGAAAATCAGCTGGAAATAGCAAGCAGAAATCCCTGGCGATCGTTGGCAATCACAAAAACGTCGCCATAATTTCAAAGGTCGACTGTCGCTTGTCACCGAATCTTATTGTTTGTCATATGAGAATCAAAGGCAATCGATTCTCAAAGAAGGAAATCGTTTTCACATGTTTCCGAGTGAACAACCCCTCGGAGAGTTTTTAAAAACATCTCTTCTGATCTCGCGATTCTCCATCGTTTCTGCTCCTTCGAGTCCCAAGTTCGCATAGTTCAAGATGACAATTACCCGGTTTCGTCGAGCCGCAACCTGCGGTGCGGTTCCGCCGCGTCCTCACCTCGAAGGAACGCGAGAAATTCCCTCGGACACCGTTCGTACTTCTCTGTTTACTTTTTCTAGAGTCCACCGAGGTGCGGAGGTTCCATTCCTTTCCGAGTTCCCTAGGGATCGTTCCGAGGACGGCGCGTTAAGGCGAGCCGTCCAGGAGCGAGTTCGAGATCACCTACGGAGGAGTTTCCCCTCGAAAAAGCTCGACGGGTGTCCGGGGAGGAAAAAAAAAGAAAAAAGATAAAAAAAGAAGTACGCGAAGTCGGCGCGCCAGGTTTTGTCGTTTCCCGTTAGCATAGGAGGAGGAAGAGAAAGTAGAGTGTCGGTGCGCGCGCGGCCCGTCGGGAGCTGTCAGCTGTCAGCTGACGCGGCGAACGCCCGCGAGCGAGACGACCAGTCAACGAGCAACGAAGAGCTAACCGATGACCGAGAGAACGAACCAATGAACGATGAAACGATTCACTAACCGCGTCGTACCGAAAGGAACGGCCAGACTCATAAAATACCAATGAAAAATCCCGCAATAAGATCTAACAAATATACCAATAATACAATAACCAGCAACATACCAAATATACAATTTAAAACATCCAGAATCTAAATAAAATGAAAAAAAAAACAAGAATTCCTGAAAAAAAGAAATTCAGACGATATATACTTTTTTTAGAATTATTTATTATACTAAGGTAGGAGTACGTGTCATACGGCATAGATGTGAATTTATACAAGAGGTACTTTTGAAGATTACTTCACGATGTAAACCTGTTTTAAGCCGTTAGACGGATTCGGGGAGGGTTTAATGGATGATGAGTAAGAGCGTTTACGTAAGCGTAAATCTGGTTTTAAGGCACGTGTAACCTGGAATAAGGGACATACCGTGATAGCAGGTCGACCGACTCGTGAGCGCCTTGGGGAACCTCTCGAGTTTGGTGGGGCCGTACTATCCGTCGGCTGTCCTCGGTGACATGTTCCTCGTGGGACTCGGAGGTCGGAGTCGTCCTTAGATGAGGAAAGAGCGGCGGGAACGAGCAACGGGCTCGGACATCCGCGGGCCGAACGACGGTCCAAAGACGCGCACCACGCGAGAGCCCAGGCTCGGTCAGCCTCGGCTAGAGGAGCGAGCCGCGAGGACACCGATTTCCACCCGACACCGGCGAGCTGTCCAACCGCGACGGGTCAAGCGTCAGCACCGCACTGAACTCGGCCGCCGCTCACCAGCGCGATAAACAAACTCGCCTCCTCTCGGGTGCGCGCGCACCGAGCGCCCGCCCCTCCCCTGCCGCTCGGGAGCCGGGCCGGCTAATGGCGCCTCGTCGCGTCTCGCTCGCACCCGCCTCGGTGCATCGGTCCGTCCTCCTCGCACTCGTACAGAGGTCACGGTGTCGCTGTGGTTAGGGCGTCTCGCTTCGACGCACGGGCAAGCCCGCTCGCGCGCTCTCTCTCCCGCGCGCGCCGCCCGCATATCTGCGCCCCTCCATGGCTCTGCGCGCGCCTCTGGTGGCGGACCAGGGAACTCGCAACCGCGACACACGGACCGTGGCGAAGGTTGGCGCTTCCTCGAGATGCTTGACTCTTATTTGGGTTAATTGAAACGTTACGTATACCGCCGAGGACTGAAGAGCCCCACGGAAACGGGATTATTTATGTCCATCGAACGGCTGTCGGCGAGTCGACGCGTCTTGAGTCGCGGGGCGGCGTTGAGGTTAAGTAGGTTAGGAAGTCATTGCGAGGAACGAGATGTGGATGGATTGTTGCGAGCGGATGGTAATGCTGGGACTGTTGCGCGGATTTGGATGTTTGCTGATAAGAGGGCAGAATTTAGGGGAAGGGAGTCGCGGAGTTGACATAACCTCCTTCCGGTTGGAGCAGGAAAGCATCGATTTGACGCGTTTTGGAGTTCTTGAGGCACACTGACACTCGGTTCACTGGGTAGAAGAAGGGCCTTGGCGAGGTTAGAGTGCAGAAATTAGTCCTTTCGGTGGGATTTGAAATTTGGAGAAACCAAACACAACACTTCGGGGTGGCGCGACGCCGCGACTGACGCTTTCGACGGAGCAGCTGATCGGGTACGTTAGCGCCACCTGCTGGCGCTTCGGCGAAGCTGGAAGAGCCGCGCTAGTCGGTAACGTCACTCCCTATTTGTTGTCGAATTCCGCCGATCGCTCTTCAACGTATCTACAATTTATTAATGCCAAGTCGAACGTTCCTGGTGAAACGGACCCTCGAAACTCGGGTATGTCATTCCGGTAATGATAAAACTCAGTCGGCGGAAAGGAATAGCCTTTTAACTAGGGAAATAAAACGGTAGGAGTAACTTGTAGTTGCGTAGAGGTGCACGACGCGACGTAAATCAGACGATTCGAATGACCGATTAATCGTGCCAGTAACGAGGTAACTTTAACGGCCATCAAATGTCAAACGTTAAATAACTAGCTCGGTAATTGAAATGCCTATAGCACGAGGGGTCTTATTAAGGGCAAAAGTTAGCGGAGTCGCTTCGCTCCGGAAGATCCGGAACTTCGATCCCTTCGTACTTGCTCCCCGACGTACATAGCGTGCCGAGTACCGAGGTACACGGTAGGTACATCGTGTACACGACTCCTTGGCGTCTTAACCCGCGTAAGTAGGTATGTACCTGCATACTTAGGCGGTTAATCCCGTATATACCTTGGTATTTACCTGCTCGCACATTCCGACCGGGATCAGCCGCGCCGGTACTTAGGCAAGTACCGGCCTCCTTGTTCGCCAACCAGGTAGAGACGAGAGAATTAGCAGTACGCAGGTATTAGCATTGTACTGGGCGAATTACCATATTCATGAATATCGCAATAATGGCACCGACCGAGATGGATCCGCGTGTCCGTGTATAACCATCTTCCGACCTCCACTCCGTGGCCACGATGAATATGTCACCGCCGAATTCGGGCTTTTCAGGGAAATCTCCAAATCTCGGTACCTGTACATTACCTAACCACCTGGGCGAGACAAGGACCGGTGAAACCGGATGGCAAATCCACTCTATGGTATCTGCGGTCTACGTGACCTCGCACATTCCTTTAATTAATAACAAATAAGTAGAAAAACTCGTAGCAAAATATTTTCATCTTTTTCAGGTAGTTCCAGAGTTCACCTGCATCCGGGACCGGCAGATCGTCCGAGAGCGATCGCTTTAGACCACTCGCCATCCTGAAATTTAAAGATACCCCCAATTAACACTCATAAGAGGACCGAGTCCTAAGCCGAGAATTTCCACGGGAGAAATTAATTGCCGAAATCCTCGAGTCGCGATTTTCGTTCAAATGCAGGAGTCAGATCGAAGTTCAATTAGAGCGGAGATTAAGGGGAAGCGACACGGCCAGGCCGCGGCTCCTTTCTGCGATTCGTTACGAGGACTCGTCATTAAAATCGCGAATCCTTCAGCCCCTAACGAACGGCCGCGCGAATCATAATCGCGGGTCCGCCGCGCGGAAAACGCGGGGGCACTCGCGTTCCCGTGGGTTCCGGCATAATGTAGGCGGATAAATTGGGGCGTCGGGACGTAAGCGTACGAGGCTTCGTTACGATCGTGGAATATATTCCGGGGGGCGTGTTACATACGTCCGGCGAAGTGCTGCCGGAGTCACGTATGTGAATTCATCCGCTCTAAAATATTCTACATTGGAGTACTGTACAAAGTCCTAGCGCGAATTAAACCGCTAAAATTCATCGCAGTTCGCAGCGTCGAGTCGTCCTGTCTATATCGAAACATCGAGCAGCGACCGAGGAACGGTCATGGCTACGTGAGAATTATCAATCGCCCCTCGATAAATCCTAGTTGCTAAAGCGTCTCGTCGGAGCGCAGAAAGATTAGAGTCCCAGGATCTGTTGGCTCGCCATGGCTCGAAGGTACGGGACCGTGGATGAAAGTAGAGCGGGAAAAAGCCCGCGTCGAAATAATCAGTCATCGCGAAATTTATTCGCCGGGCGGCGATAAATTCGAGAATCCGGCGGGATTACGCGCGCATAAATTGCTTCCCACCGCGGCGCGACGACGCGCGTGGGGTCCCGGAAAAAGAGCGCAAGGAGACGGACTGCCAGAAAGAGAGGGAAGACCGGAAGAGACATTTAACGGTGGAGAGAGACGGAGGCATATACGGGAGAAAAGGGGGCCGGGATATTTAAAGAGAGCCTTGGGGTAAAAAGTCATAGCTCGCCGGCAGCGATCGCGCTCCCGCCTCGCCGTAATGCTCTTTCGTCTACCTGCAATTACCTTGACTCTTATTAGATAGTATTTTTAAGAAATTAGGTGGAAGGAGACTCTATGAGAGATCCCGAAGAGAAAAGGGGAAGAGGAGGTATCTGCGATGAAGGGTGAAATTAGATATCGATGGAATAAAGGACTGGATCGAGAGCCCTGGCTCGGTACCCGTGTGTTTTACGATACTTCTTCGATGGTGCTTCACGAGGAGATTAAGGAGAAGAAAATCGTCGTGGCCGGGCTCGTAAGGTTAGTTTCTTGGTCCTGGTTCGGAGGTACTTCGAAAGTCCCGAAAGTTATCGCGAATCCGATACTCGTGAAGAACCCAAGCCAAGATTTGAGACTCGTCGAGGCTCGAGGAGCCCGATAATTGGAAACCCGACTAACAAGGAAATCCGACCCAGAATCCTCCATCGATTTCAAGGATTTGGAAATCCGATGTCCGACGAGGATTCCATTCGACGGTGAATGATTTTCGGGATCCGTTTGCTCCGCCCTCCGTGTAGACGCTCTAAAGCCTCGCGGACGTTTCCTCGACTTTGCGGAACGAGCGGTCGATTTTTACGGGCCAGTCCCCCGGCGATTAACTGGACTACTTCTGAAAATAAGGAGGAAGAGAGGAAAAAATTTAGCGAAGGAGGAAACTCGGATGACATTGCGGCGGGGTGGGTCGGGCGGGGGTTGTAACGAGGTAACTGCACCGAAGGGTAAAGTAAGCGAGTAAATAAACGGCACCTGCGACTACTTCTTGACTCGCGTTTGAACACACGGAGGGACTTCGCGGAAATGGCGCGCCGAGGGCGTTCACCGTGTAACTTCGTAACTGCGCTCTATTTCCTGGTCGCCTTCTTAATTTTGCCCCCTGTAATTGCGAGAGCTCGGACCTTTACCCCAAATTACCTGCCGCCTAAAGAGAGTCGCCGAATTCGCGCGCCTTTCCTCCCTGCAGATCCGCGCCGGATCCATTCAGTTTCCAAACGACCGGCTTTAAAAATATCTCCACTTAACGATATTACAAGCTAATGACTTTTTGGCCTTAAACCTCTCAAGCTAATCGAAGACCCGGCCAATACGGAAAACAGAGTTGGAACACGAAACAGAATCTGCAACTTGATGCGAACTTGGCGGAGAAAGGTCGCAAGTGTGCGCTCAGTACCCAGGCAGGCCGAAACTCCTACTGCCGTACGTTATTGCATCCTCGTAGAGGAAAGCTCCATTACTTGACTTCGCTACAATTATGCTAAAAGCTAATACCCTCGAAAGATACACGGGCAAGTGCACGAAGTAGCCGGAAAATTGATTCCGGATCGGCGGGTGCACCGAATATTCAATGATCTCGTATAATCAATTCCTAGCCCGTATACACGGCAGACTTTAAACAGTCTATTTATACCTGAGTTTTCCGGCCAACGAGGTGGCTGCTCTCCCCCAGTGCCGATAGCGCACACCCCCGCGATGCATATCAACGCGGCCCGGAGTCGGGTCGTATGTGTACGCAGTTCCTAGGACGAGGCCGCTCCTTGTACCCCGCCGTTCCCGGAGTTGCCGCGTTATTACCTATAGGAATATACCCGGTCGGATCTCCGGGGAAATCAAGACGGTCGGACAAGCGGAGCCGCGGAAGAGCGGAACTCGCGCGAGACCGGGCGAGAGCGAGAGGGTGCGAGGTCGGCCAAAAGAGCGCTCCAAATTCGAGCGGAGCCCTTGTCGCCGGGGCGATAATTAATACCATCCCGCAGGAGTCGGTGCACGCTCGAGCTGGCGTTGGACATTTTCATTTCCCGGCTCCCCGAAGAGGGCCACGCGGTTCCACGAGGGCGCACCTCCAAAGAGCGGTGCGCACCCGAGCGATCCGAGGAGCTTATCATGGCTTCGGCCGAGCTCGGCCGCCTCTTGCCGTCCAAATTAAACGACCTACATCGCCGGCTCGCTTTGGAGCCCCCCGACCTTGCGGTGTTATCCTTGATAAAGGATAACTGGCAGCGAACCGCTTAGCGCTTTCGGCCCTCCACCACAGGCAGGACCTAAGCCCGAGATGGATCTGGAAGCGACCCTCGTATTTCGTTCCCTCGTCGATGACTTCTCTTCTGCGGGCAGTCACTTCCGCGACCTGGTACTCGGTTACGTGGCCTCTCATCTGCGGGAAAGCAACCTCTGGGTTAGCGTTTGGCCCCGTGCGAAGGAAAAACGGCCAGGGAAATAGGAAATAACCATCGAGCGGCTCACCTCACCCGACTTTGGAGAGTGCGGGAAAAACCCCGGCTCCGTTAATTCGAGACCGGAGACTTTCACCGATCCCTGGTGTACCGTGAACATGTAAAGTCGATTGCGCCGAAGGGAGGCATTTTTAAGTCGAGCCGAGGGAGGAGTACCGCTTCGAGAGGTGGCCCGAAAAACGGGCGGTGCACTCGCGCGTTCGTCCACGCTTCGATTACCTCGGTGTCCCGCTCGTTGGCCCGGCTCTTACCGCCGGCGGGCCGAGTTAAACGAGACATACATTGCTAATTCACTTTGGAATGTACCGACCTTGCGCTCCTTATTAACGCGGGCTATGCGCGAGTACAAACACACCGTAACGAGTCGAATCCCGCGGCGAAACCGGAGGATCCAACCGCGACGCTGGCTGCGATAATTAATTTCTCATCGCACAATGGAATCTAATTAACAAAATTAAGTCCTCACCCCGTGTGCGTCCCGGGGACAGGATGCCGTCCGCAAGAAACGCCGCAGAGCGGATCAAACGCCGGGAAATAAAATCCATCCCGAGAGGCGCAGCCTCAACCGCGCGGATTTCGATTCTCTGCGTCCTTATCCCGACACTCTGGAGGCGCATAATTGGCCAGGTCGGATTCGCACCGCCTAATCTGGTTAATCCTAAGAGGTATCCGTTCGGCAAAGACTCGTCCGTCGGTTTCATCTGGTTCCATGCGCCGACTGAACATCAGAGTCTCGCAGGATTCAAAGGGCAAACACGTAGCAGCGAGCTTGCCGATGCAAACGCTGGTGGTTGCGGGCCAAAGGATAACCGGAAGCAGTGTTTGCCGACTCGTTAGTCGAGTAGCGTTCTGCATTTGGTATTCCCGATGCACTGATGCACCTACGGTGCCGATAGGGCGATTCGTCCTGCATTCCTGGCGGTCCGTCCTGGGCGAGCTGCGCTCCTACTCTTCCTCGATCCCCGGTCTAAACGTAAAAACAATCGGAAACGCATGAAAATTAAATGCGAGTAAAAAAATAGTTTCTTTCCATTCTGCAGGATACTTCACGTTTTCCTCCGGTCTGGCCGTCCCGTTTGGCAATTTCGACCCAGAGTTTAAAGGGGCCACTATCCTTTCCGTCTTCCTGGGGTGGTTTTGGGCTCGAGGAGGAATTTTTCTATGAGAATCCCAGGCTCAGTCAGGTCTCTTCAGCGTCGGAAGAACGTCGGGTTTTTCTGCACGTAAACTCGGAGGCAAGTCGGCCCCCGTCCGTTCCGTTCCGTCTTCTGGCTGGCGGATGACGGCGCGGTGGAATTTCTTCGTCCCTTAAGACTTCGCCGGAAGCCAGTCGCGTTATTAGTCTCGGGGAAAATTGGGTACCCCGTCTCGCTTAGCGGAGGCGGGATGCAGAAGGGATGCTGGAGGGATGCAGCGGGATGGGATTCGCAGGAGCCACGGGGAGGAGGGTAGAGGATCGTTAATGCAACGAGCGCATTAGCAGTAAATTTCAAGCAGCGTTTTCAGAAACTGACTGGATAATTTCCAGTAGCCGGGATAGATTAAATCTCGGGCTTCCGCCCCCGTTATTGCCTTACCCCGACCGTGCGGAACCGTACGCCACCACCTACGACTTTCTCGATTAAAGATACCGGAACGATCGCGACGATTTCCCTCGAACGATGCCCCGCGATTCGACCCCATCCTCGGCGCCCTATTAACGGCCGAGGTAACGTTTAAGCTCGCCGATTCCAGAGGAAGAGAAAAACGAACGGGACGGACCGAGATGATGGTAACTCCCCGATTCCCCGTAAAATATTTCCTTATCGGTGGATCCCCCTTTTAGAGAGACCGCGGATTTTCCGCGTGATTTCCCCTCGTTAAAAAATAAACCTCTATTTCCGGGCGGGCTGCTCGTTGCATTTCAGATTTCTTCCTTCGATTGCTCTAACTCATAATTCGTCTTCCATTGTTCTCCTCCGGCCGCTTTGTACCTGCGTAATTGGACCTCCTCGTGGAATGAAAATGAAATGAGATTAATTAAGACCGGGTGAAAAAGAATTATTAACCCGACGATTTGTAGATTTACCGCTCGGCCAATTTTGACTTAATAATTGGCGAACTCGCGTCCGGGATCCCAACGAATCGGTCAATTTTTTTTCCGGCCGATATTTTTTGCTGCATAGACAGAGGGGGACAGAGAATTAGCAGCCTAGGAGCGTTTTCATTAATCCGGCACTGATCCTCCTATGACTCAGGATCGGGGCTAAATCGCTGAATGGTCCGAGGGGATAGAGAAAAGCCAGCTATATGAGTTATCCGCGTTTTTCGCGTCTGAGACACCTAATGAGGATAGAGAGGATGAACGATCCGCGAAAGCGGAGCGGCTCCATCGCCCGCGCGTGATTTGTAGTCGAAGGTTTTCTCCCTTGCGGTACTTTGCGGGCTATAAGTATCTTTTTTAAGGTATCCTGACGAACGGGTCATTAAGCAACCTCTGCACGAAACCGCGTAACGACGGCAAAAATATAGCGTCTAAATAAAAATATACAATATGAGAAACGCGACGCACGTCTTCTGAAAGATATATGAGACCTCGCCGGAGGGCTCGCTTTGATCATCCTCTGTGAGGGACTTAAAGAAACGGGAATAAAATGTATCCGGTCATTGGACGGAGGTATGTTATCAAAAAATTACTGCCTGCTTATGCTCGTATTAAACATTTAATCTCAATTTCCCCGAGTAGAGATGAAGTACTTAACATTAACTTACGGCCCGCGAAGCTTGGCAAGCAAAGCTTCGTTCTTGCGACACTCAATAGTTAACTGTCTGACAGCAGCAACGTACTTGCGTTGCTGCTCCACTAACGAAGCCAGTTGCTGACTTAAGGAATCTCGCCTCATCTTCTCGTCGATACACCTTTTCTCCACCTGAAAAAGTTAACGTGTCGTTTAAGAAATCAATTCCGCCGGTGTCCATGAAGACTCTTCGGGTCTTATGGCTCTTCACTACACGTACTTTAGCTTTGTTTCGCTTAACACCGGCGACGATCGCCTCCAATTGTTGAAGAAATTGGTCCTTACCACTTGCTGATGCCATTGCTCTATTTAAGACAAAATTAACGAATGTAAGAAAAATATTTGTTTCCCTATCGATTACTCAAACCAATGCTTACTCTGTATAATTTTCCTGGATTGAATTTAAAAGCGATAACTCTTTATTCAAATAGAGTTTCGTATCGTCTAATGTATTATAAAGAGTATAGTACTGCTTCGTTTCTTTATGCTTTGCCGCTACTGTAAAAGTAACATTCAGGTAAATTCGAATCCGGTTTAAATTACTTTCGAAACATTCGGTATGAATATTGCACCTTGATTATATAATTCCATAAAGCGTCTCTGATATTGTGTCAGCTCGGATCGCCCAGGGACGTCATCTAATTGCCTTGTTAAAGAAGCAATGGCTCTGTTTCTTTTGGCTAATTGTAATCTCAGTTGAGCAACAGCCTCTTTCCGCTCTTCGAATTCCGAAGCTTGACTCTCCTCCTCTTCTGGTTCTCCAACTACAGAGGCCACCATGTTCCGAAGGCGTGTCAATTCTGCTTTACAGTGTTCTCGGAATGCTTGCTCTTGACTCTTCAAACCATCGTGAACAGAAAGGAGTTCCTCCAGTTCTTTTAGTATGCTAAAACGTCATATATAAACATATTCTTTATCTATTCACGATTATTTAAATATGTATAGTAGCATTGATAATATTTCATACATGTAATGGAATACTTACATTTTATTTTCATCAGTCTCTAGCTCTTTCATTTTCTGGAAGGCTTCATCTACTGTCTGACTATCTTCCCGAACTTTACTTAATTTGTCAGTCAGCAATGAGACTTTTTCCATCAAGGAATCTCTTTCCTTTTTCAATTTATTTCTTTTATTTTGCAAAGCTGTCCTCTGTTTATCCAGTGCTGCCAGAGCTCCAGACATAACAGAGCCACCGCTTACCTTAAATCATTAAAAAATAAACGGGACATTAAATTATACACAGATTAATAACCATCTAATTGACATGTTTCATTTATGAGTGAATTTACCTCTACATCTGTGTTCCATGAAGCATACTTTTCTGCAGCCTTAGCAATCTCTTTAGCCTGCATGCTAACAATACTTCCAACGACACTGGCACTTGGACGTCCCTATGTACATATTCCTAATTAAAATATGAAGAAATAAAAATGTTGCGAAAATCAACAAAGCTGAACTTACTGCATTGTCATCAATGATAGTCATATTCTTTAAGAGATCATTCGCTAATTTCTGAAATGGGAAACAACTTAATAAACTTCTATAAGAAAAAAGTAATGTTAATAGAATAGAAATTATTCATTTGCGAACAGCATTGTACCTCAACATTCACCTCCACTTTTGTACATTCTTCTATAGATGCAGATGGTTGTGCAATATTACCGACAGCAGTGTTTGTACTTGTAGCAGTGGTTGGTGAATCCAATTGTTGAAGAGACACAGAAGGTATTCCATATTCCAGCAATGTGCTTTGAATTCTGGCAATTTCTTCATTGGGTGGTGCATCTTTGCGTTTATAACGTCGCCTAGGTTGATAAACTTCCTTAACAATTTTGACATTTGTAGTCACATCTTTCATTTTTTCTGTTCCTTCTTCTATCATTGGTAAAGTGTGGCTTTTGTCATACTGCCTAATTGCAAACGATCTAACAAAATCTGCTGTCTCTTCTCTTGTTTCTAAAGAACGTTTCACCAGCCACTGAAAGGAATATTATTAATTTCAGAACTACTTAGACCTAATTATACTCTTACTTGTATAACAGGGAAGATATGAATGCAGTCCAAGCCTTGAATTTGATGAGGTTCTATTCTATGAGGACAGTTCATCTTCGGTAGCATAGAAACAATTTTTTCCGTTAGAGCTCTGTGAACAGTATAATTAAAAATATATAAAATATAACCTTACAATGTGTCTAAATACATAAAAAAATATCTTACATTTTTTGTCCTATGGTAAGGTTCTCTTGAAAAAGTAGATCGACATGCACATCAAAGCTACACGATTCAATGCACCAAGTCATACCACCGACCACCTAAACAATTGTGTTATTTTATGCTACTTAAAACTGATTAACCTTCCACCATACAATTTTAATTTAAATCTGTTGAATCAACTCGTTCATAAACGAACCTTGTCAAAATTTGATAAACCTTTTATCCGTGCTCTAAAATAACCAGCAGCGACCAAGAGATCGATAATCTCTTGAAACTTGATCGCTTGCTCTTCATCTTCTCGAACGTCAATCTATGGATTCGACATATACATTAAATATATTTAAAAAACATACATTTGTATTTTAAAATATTCCAAAGTGTATTCACCTCTGGAGTGTCCAAGCTCTTCGCTGGTCTTTTCGAAACATCGCTAAACATGTTTTAATTGTTGTGTATGTAATTGTACGTCCCCTGTCCAAATATTATTTATGTGATCAGTAATTGCTGTGTCTATATCATTGTTTTGATTAATTCAAGGATTTCCAAATTTGCCTCTGTTTTTTTCATAGAAGCGAAAAACATAAAACATTCATAGAATGTTAACGTTTCATTGAGATACTGAACCTGAAATAGTTCCTGTGAAGCAGCGCTGCTTTACTTGAAGATCTCTCTGAGTGGAGTCATTTGGAAACTAGTCTTAATAGTCCCCGGAAGTTGATCACTGACAGCGCAACCAATCCGTAGTCGAATTCGACGGTGCCTTTTCCGGTACAGCAGCAAACATGGTTCGTAAGACTATTTGACATTTAGAAATCTAATCTGTAAAAATTGATGCAATCAGCCGGATATTTTTTGAAGTCGGTATTTTATACTCCATGAACAAATTAATGCTCTGCATATTTAAGAATATTGTTTGATGCACAAGTATTTGGCGGTGTCAGTACACGAAAGCTTCCGGCGTAGAGGTTATGTCCGACTCTGTTGACGAATTATTCGGCAGTGTTTTTAAGGAATAAGTTTGGATTTGTGACGGTGTAATCAATGAAATTCAATCATTTACCATTAATTTAATATTCTAGGGTCGCGTAAGAACGAAGACGGTGAAGAAGGCCGCCAAAAACATCATCGAGAAGTATTATACTCGGTTGACCCTTGACTTCCATACAAATAAGAGGATATGTGAGGAGATTGCCATCATTCCAAGCAAGCCTCTGAAGAATAAAATTGCTGGGTAAGATGCGTTTTATTTCTTAGTTCTATGTTTCTTTTGTTAATTTCAAAATGTCGATGTTTATGGCTTCTTAATGGATGACAACAGGTATGTTACACATCTTATGAAGAGGCTTCGACACAGTCAAGTTCGTGGTATCTCGATCAAACTTCAGGAAGAGGAAAGGGAACGCAGGGATAACTATGTACCGGAAGTTTCTGCCCTTGACCATGATATCATTGAAGTTGATGCCGATACCAAGGAGATGTTGAAGATGCTTGACTTCAACAGCATTTCTGGCCTTCAACTAACTCAGCCAGTTACGCATCAGTTCAGCAGACGTAACTAAATTTTATTTACTTCAACTCCAATTTGGCATTTCTGTAATAAAGAAACGGTCCGATACTTTTGTTCTTTTTAATTTGTGTACAACAAACCTTAGAGTATACTTTTTGGTATAATCCCGATTGCCGTAGCAAAACTTGAGCAACTAATTAATTTGACGTTTTCTAAGTGTTGCTAATAAATATTAAATAATTGCTTAAGCCATGAAATTTCCTGTAATATCTAGAGGTTATATACCTACGAAAATTTAATTGTTCTTAATGGGAAAAAATCAGTTACTTCATGTAGTTTTCTATTGACAAGGAAACGACTGTTTCAATCTTAAATGAACAATATATTTTCAATTTTATATTTACTGGGTTTGAGTAAGTTTTCAGTATAATCAGAATAATAGAAATTATATTCTTTTTATTTTTATTTCAAAAACTTATATTACATAGTAATTGTTTTATAGTGCTGAATGTAAAAGGCAGCTGCAGAATTATCCAGGATTGTTCGAACTTGGTCCAATAATTAGTTAAACTGTGACATTACTCAGATGTTGCTTTTTCATAAGTGTGTTTAACTTCTTCTTGTCCTTTCTTTATCTCCTCTTTGACCTCATCTTTCAATTCCTGTACATTCTGAAATTGAACGCCCTAAATTAATATGACATTTTCAATTAAATATAGAATTTAAGAACATGTTTATCAGTAAACAATATTTAGTAACATTTGTTACATACCTCCTTTATTTTCTCAGCCTCATTATGTATTTCGTCTTTTGCTGCTTCATATCCATCGGTAACTTTTTGCTTAATTTCTTCTACCTTCTAGAAATCAAATTAATCATCACTTATTACAACATTTCATGTTATCATTATATGATAATGAATAAATAGCAGTATTAGGTTCTTCACAATTAGCAATAATAAAACTTAAATGGTACCTCTTTAACTTTCTCATATGCTTCAGACAGTTTATCCTTTCCAGCCTCAATTCCCTCATGCACTTTGTTGTATACTTTTTCACCAGTTTCCTTTATCTTCTACGTTTCAATAAAAATACCAAAATATTACAACACTGATCAGAGTATACAAAAAAATGATTTTTATAGGTGCTCGCATTATTTATTGAAATATACCTCCTTTGTTTTATCGTAGGCCTCAGAAATTTTATTTTTTCCAGCCTCAACACCATCATGGACTTTGTCATAAATCTTTTCGCCAGACTCCTTGACTTTATCCTTGAATTCAGTCACTTTCTAAAATATAAAATAATCTAATATGCCCGCAATAGATGAAAGTAATACAATATCTAATTGTTGAGCAGAAAAATCAGTACCTCTTTCGTTTTGTCGTAAATTTCTTTTCCAGTTTCTTTCACCTTTTCTTTTACATCATGGACTGTCTACATATAGAAGTAACAAATAATTTGTCAGATGATTCGAGTAATGTGAACTTAACAATCATGATACAATTTTTTCTTCTATGACTTTATCATAATGATACCTGCTTTGCTTTATCATAGGTCTCAGAAATTTTGTCTTTCCCAGCCTCAACACGATCATGGACTTTGTCATAAATTTCTTGTCCAGTTTCTTTAACCTTTTCTTTTACATCATGGGCCGTCTAGATATGGAAGTAACAAATAATTTGTCAAATGATTTGACCAACATGAACTTTACAATCATAATACAATTTTTACCTCTTTGACTTTGTCATAAACGTCCGATAATTTCTCTTTGCCAGCTTCAACTTTTTCATTTACTACATCACAAACCGTTTTCTGCTGATCGCTGTTATCAACAATTGGCAATGACTAAAAATCAGAGAATATTAAGGTCGTTAATTAAGCGATGACAATACATTCAGTTATTACAGACCCACAAGAAATACATTAAAGAGTAAAGTACTTACAAAGACAAAGCTTCCGAAGAGTGCTAGTATAAGAAGTTTGGAGATCATTTTTCTTCCCTTTTTGATTTCCAGCCGCCAAGTCTGCTCTGGTATAATGTTTAAGATTCGGGCGGGTTTATATCCAGAAAACACTCGCAGTACATATGGTAAACAATTGTGTCAATACTATTTTTCGCAATTGAATAAAGATTGCTTTATTATCTCGATTTCAAGAATTATCGATATTCAGCCTACTCATGTGTACTGTGTGTAATGGCTGCATTTGAAATTACAGTCTTGCATATAATCAAATTTCAGGTGTCATATCTTATGGTAATGTTTCACGACATCGAAGCAATCGATTAAATATAGTACCGTACGCAATGACTCTGTATTATTCCAGTTTCGAGAAATTTCGTAGAAAGATCATATTGGGTGAATAATTGATTTCTTAATAACTCTGTGCAAAAATCCTATAATTCCAAATAAATACCGACATGTTTACGGGTAGTAAAATAAGTTCTATTCGTTACAGGAAAGTTGAATTTTATTATTAAAAACAGTAGGTACATTTTATTTACTCTATTTACTGTATTTATTTAATACGATGATCTGCATATTGTATTTTTGTAAATAAGGTATAGAGAAGTATTTTACAATCATTTACACATAATTTGAAGTCAATGATTTAAGTATAAAAACTTATGTAAAATCATCCTTAATAGTTTATAGACCTTCGTAACCTGTAGACATAAATAATCTTCAAAAATTGTTGAATAGCGAGGAATATTTTTAAATTACACCAAAATCTTTAATGTATCATAGATGCGAAACTCAATGAACGAACAAATGTACTCTGCTTTCCGATTGTGCAGAGTTCTGCTGGGGAACTTAATGAGAACCGTGATTTCATTGTTTACATTTTTTACTGCTCTGACCAGCTTGCGATAATTTAAGTATGTACAGTTATGTCTTCCTCTAAAAATTGACAAAACAGAGTGGTTAAACATTCATGTGAAATTGAGTGTGCCAAAATTGGACAAGAATGAAGACGTCACGAATGTGGAACTTATGTACATTGCTCGAGAAAGCGTCGTCTACCTTATCGACCGCGCAGAATTCTGCATCTACCTGAGGAAAATGAAAGCGTGGTTTCTGTTTTTCACCGCTCTGTCGCAGTTGCTTGTTCCAGAAGTTTCCACAGTAATGCGCAAGGAAGATCATTAGCGTTGTAGAAAAAAGTAAAAGGGTTCGAAAGTGACTCACGTCAAAAATCTGATATCGTCGAGTCGAGCCGTGCGACTTTATGAAAGGGTCGAACGATCGGTCGTCTTAGCGTCGCGTGCTAGTGCTCGTGACTTTCGCCGTTGGTTCCACGGAGAATTACTGACAATTACGAACAATTGCGGACAACCACGGACAATTGGCAAGTGACTCTGGCAAGTTGTCAAGGGACAACGTCACTACGGTAATCAGTTTATATTTATTTCGACGACGAAACGTCAAGATTAGACCAGATCAGTCGGGATCGGTTGGATTGTCCGTCCAAGATCCAATCCTGTCAAGTCCTGTTGCAGGTCTTGGTTCCAGACACGTCGTTGTACTGGCTTTGCTAGGCTGTTGTCAGTGACTACGTGTGCCCCAGCACCGTACCGAAGTCATTTGCAATGTGTTTAAGATCGGTGGAGACCTACAGAGTTCCGAAGGAATATCCGTCGAGGAGCCTCGTGTAAGATGGGTTGGTGCGCCACTAAAAGGGTTTCAGGATATTGAGTCCTTATCGCAACGATTTCAATTGGAGATGCTTGGATTTGTGCAGCCGATACCGTCCCTGCGTGGGAACTGACTTAAAAAGCCAGGCAGTTAGACTTAGCGAAAGCTTTCTATGAGCTCGTAGTGAGATCGAGTGACAAATCCGTGAACAATGGCATACCTGCAATTTTATCCGGTGCAGAATATAGGCCCCGAGCCATTGACCGAACTCTGTTTCAAGTTCATCTGTGCCAACTTAGACATCATCTCTACTAAAAACAAATATGGCAATCGTACTCTCAGGAAAGGACTCGTACTTCCCAGCGAGATATGTGATAAAATGTTGGAATTTGCCCAGCGTGATGGAAAGGACATCGATGAAACTTTCCTTTCGATATTTGAAGATGTTAAGTCCACTAGACTCAAAACGGTTAAGATTATTAATTCCTGTCTCTCTGACACAGCCATTCGTATCATTGCCAGGCACAAACTCATCAAGTTAGAGCTTAACAGGTGCAGTCCTAATTTGGTAACGTCTATCGAGCATATAAACGAACATTCGGAAAATCTACAGAGTCTGACGTTACGAGGCTCCTTTAAAAGCAATCCTGTACCAGTGAAATTTGGTGAGGAAACTGTTTTCGCTTATATATTATGTTACCATAAAAATATTATGATAATACACCTTGCTTTTATTTTATTGAACAACAAAGTTATAAATGTGACTTGTAAGAATGTTTCTGGTTGAATAACTTCTTCCTTTTTTTAGCAATGTGTCATTATTATCCAAGGGGTTATTTATTTAAAACTCCAAAATTGAAACGCCTTGCAGTTGGAAATGTATGTATTTCAACTTCAGAGTACGCTTTCCTCCTGGCTCATTTACCGCAGTTGACACACCTTGACTTGTCCAATGCTACTGAGATTCAAAATTTTTACTTCCATAATTTCGTCCCCAATTTAGTCTCACTGACTCTGTACAACGTTAAGCTCAGCTCCAATCTGCAGAGCTTTGTCTCTAGAGTTTGTCACCTAAAAAAGTTAAGGTAGTCATCAATTTATTTGAAATTTATCCTTTGGACAAGTATTGCATGTCGACTTTTTTCAAACGGTGTTGATTCTTCTCAGGCATTTGGATATTTCATTAGCAACTTCAAAGTACGGGCAGTACGAGAATCCAAATCAGATGTTAGCGGAACTTGTGAACGGTTTGCCAGAACTAGTTTCTTTGGATATAGGAGGTACCAATCTTGCCGGAACCGGAGTGGCAGAAAGACTACATAATATGGCAGATACCGAATACAGTTTAATGTGTGATATCCCGGGACTTGCATCTCGGGTTAACAACCCTCTGCAATTTCTTGGGCTCTATGGAACTAGTCATGGAGCCTGCAAAAGACATGACATTCCTGCAAAATTGGTGAGTTCCAATTTTTAACTTAACATTATTTTGTATTAATAATCAGTGATCACTCTAAAATGTTCAATTTAATTGAAATGCGACAGATAGCAGGTGATGCAAACGAAGAACAAATTCTCATCGCAGCAAGAGTCTGCATGGATTACAAGAACGAATTATTGCAGAAGGTTATGAATGATCTTTATCATATATTTAGAAATGACAGTTGTGAGCGCATGGATCATGCACTTTGTACAGTTTTAGAAGCTATGGAAAAACACCCTTTTGATAAACATATACAGATTTCTGGGAGGTAAGTTTATCATTCGTCAAAGTAAGCGAGAGCCGATTAAAATTAGTTAAACTCTTCAAGTTTTTACAAATTAGAATTTGTTTTTCAATTTTCTTCTCGGAGCAGATGTTTTAATCGATACGAATTTTTTTTTAATGTAGCGCTACCCTGTTTTATATCGTGAAAGTAAAAGAGAAGAGCGATCTTATAGTAGGAATGAAGCGAAGGATAATTGGAACCCTCCTAACAGGAATGAGTACTCACAACGATGAAGAACCTATGATTAGGAATGGTTGCTTGACGCTTTGTCAATTCCGAATACCTCAAGATGTGGTCTGTATGATTGTGTAAATCTATGTCAAATTATTCACTTCATTCGATAACGTCAGTTACTAGTATTTACTCATTACTAATATACTTTATTTATGGGGTGTGAATTTCAAATCGCGAAACAGATGTGGAATTACGAAGCACTGGTTAAGGTTCTCTTGCATTCTGTAAAGAACGCTGAGCCGGAAGGTTTCGTACAGCGTATTGGGATATATTTGTTGAACTCACTAGCTTGCCAGGTTGACGGCAAGGAGAAACGCTTGTTGGGAAAACTAGGTTGCGTAAAGGCAATGTTGCAACTAGTGGAATATCGTTTGGACTCGCTGATATTTGATGATGTGCTTGAAGTTGCCTGGTCTACAATGTGGAACATGACCGACGAAACGCCCGTTAATTGTCAGCGCTTCTTAGATGAACATGGCATGGATCTGTTCCTTCAATGTGTAGACGTAAGTGTTTGAGCATTTTAATGTTCACTCCTTTCCAGGTGCATTAATAAGATGCTACCTGGTATGTACATTAATTACTATCAAATGTGATTAACTAATTAAAGACAATGTTGGTCGATAAGGCCTACCCACGCAAGGAAGAATTGTTGCGAAACATGATGGGCTTGCTTGGCAATGTTGCGGAAGTCGAAGAGCTACGTGTTAATCTCATGGATCAGCAGTATGTATCCGTTTTCGCGGATTTATTAAACTCTGACAGTGATGGCATTGAGGTATAGCATCTAAACTAATTCGTTATTATTGAAATTGTTACTATTGTTATTATTGAAATTGTACAATACAAGTGTTTCATTAAATAATTTCCTTTGTGATTTAAAGGTGTCGTACAATGCAGCAGGCATATTAGCTCACATGGCATCGGATGGACCAAGCGCATGGACTATCGATGATCCTTCAAGGAATGATGTTCTTAAGCTAATGGTAGAAGCAATCGAGCGTTGGGATCTATCGGCCGAACGAAACATAAATTACAGATCGTTCTTACCGCTGCTGCGTTTGTTAGACGTGTACCATACTCTAGAATGTCAACATTGGGCAGTATGGGCTCTTGCAAATCTCACCAAGGTCTATCGTAAGTGTGAATTATTCTCTGTTAATTTAACCTCAAACGACTGATATTTAAGATTTTCTTTTTGCGAATGACCATTCATTTTCTAGCTTTGAAGTATTGTTCACTGGTAGAAACAGAAGGTGGACTGGAAAAACTCGAGAAATTGTTAGAAGACCCAAGACCGTACGAATGTATCAAGTTCCTCGCTCGGCAAGTAATTTATTATTGCCAATGATAATGAATACCTTTAGACGGTCTACCTGTGTAGAAAAGCTTCAATTAAAATCGTCCCTCAGAGAACATGATAAAAGTGTGATGCCAATTTTAAGAGTCATTGTGTAGATGAAAAGTGTAAAGTGAACTGATAAAAAATGGCGGATTCATAACATTATATGTTTAAGAGTTATTGATTAAAATATGGTACTTATTTATGTAAGTGCTGTACCGTAAAAGAGATAAAAAAATCATCCATTGTTTTAATTTTACAATCAACATTGTACCAGAAAGACGATGATGTGGTAATGAACTCAATGGAGGATCTTACTGTAAATAGTTGTGTACGGAGGTTTTAGAGAATGTTTTAGGTTTGTATGTTTTTGTATATCGATAATAATACAGTTAAACCGTTCCTTTTACACCCTAGCTTATACGGTTTTGCCAACTGCAATGTACGTGTGCGATATAAAATTTTACGATCAGTTACCGACCCAAGTTCTTAGATTTGACGAAACTGAAGCAAAAATTGTTAGCATGTGCAAATAATTAGGAAAGTGCCTGTTAATAAAAATAAATGTTACGTATCAAATGATCGATGTGCCGTTTCAATATCAGGGGTTCGAAAACTGGGAGAAACCGACGGACCAAATAGTTGAGACCGTTCTTTCGAACGGACAGCCATCCATTTTTTGACCACGTCCCTCCTATTTTTTTCTATCACTTTGTCAGGATTGACGCAGAAGATACGACGAATGATCATGTCGATTATATTTGATCGAGCCTACATTTAAATGGATTTTTTTTCTGCTTAGTGATACAAAGATGGCTCACGGGAAGGGTCGCACGGTCGTGTACTTGCCACCTGATATCCCCCCAGTGGCGGCCCGTTCTGGTAGGGAATATTGTCAGCTGTTGTCAGCCCTGAAAAAAAAAAATGTAAGAGGGATCTTTGTAACCTGTCAAACGAAGCAACATCATGCCTTTTTAACTTTACGGGGATGTTTATTGTAATTTTGACTTGAGATTTTTGCCAAGGTGAATGCTAACTTGTGACAATGTATTCTATATTAATAAATTTACTGCAATACCTTGTACACTTTAACCTAACCTATAAGAATGTTAAAAATGTTTACTGTGTGCAGTTTTATCTAGTCAATTTTATAATGATTGTATTGTTACGAAGGGCATGCTAAATTTTGGGTTCGAATTGATTCTAGTCGAAAAGATGGATAATATATTCGGCAAGGATGACTCTGGAAATGAGAATGAGAGCGAAGTAATTGATATTGAAGATAAGGATGAAAAGTGCAGCCCAACGATAGTTGCAGAAGTGAAAGACAATGAATCAATGGAAGTTGATAGTATACATGTCAAGGTAATGTTTCAAATTACCCTTTAAAGAAAATTGATTTGTAATGGATAGCTGCAAAAAATGTCGCAGGTAGAATCAGACGCAGCTAGCTCGCAATCACAGTCTGATAATGACGAGCCAGCAAATAGTTCACTATCGAGCCAACTTCCCTTTGAAGACCAACTAGAGATCATTAAACACGAAATCGATGTCAAAGATGAAGGGGAGCAAAGTACGGAAGATTTATTTGGCAATGATATTATGTTACCTCATGCAACTCCAACAAATATTAAGGAAAGAAGAGAAAGCAAGGAGAAAAGTAAAAAAGAACTTGAGGAGGAAGAACGAGAAAAGATGCAGTGGGTGGAAACAATTTTTAATTGCAGGCATTTACTATAATCTTATTAAATATACTGGTAATTATTTTCAGGGTATTAGTGTCAAACTTTACAGAGGATCAGTTGGATAGGTATGAAATGTACAGACGTGCAGCATTTCCAAAAGCAGCTATCAAAAGGGTACATCACTCTAATTTCCTAAATTAACATTAAATATTATGTTCAATTAATAAAAAGCTTGTTCCATGATGTAGATAATGCAAACTATAACTGGATGTTCGGTATCTCAGAATGTTGTCATTGCCATGTCCGGCATAGCGAAAGTTTTCGTTGGAGAAATCGTGGAGGAAGGTACACATTATGAAAAATATAAGAAGAAAAGGTAATCTCTAATTCATACAACATAACATAATCCCGTTCACAGCATTGGATGTCATGGAAGCCAACGAGGACACTGGACCGTTACAACCTAAGCATCTTAGAGAAGCAGTCCGCAGACTTAGACTTCAAGGCCAAATTCCTAACGGAAGAGCACATAAAGCATTCTTCCGTCTCTAAACTTTAAGATTAGCTTTGAAATTAATATTGAAATGGTACAAAACTTCATAGGATAAGATTTTAAAGAGATTTCAAATTGTTACGATATCCGCTGCAGTTGAATTTCTCGCAGTTAATTATGCGAGTAATGTGATCGAGAAATACAATGTCTTTTTGATACGACCCGGTCTCCGTTAATAATCTATTCCATTCTGCGTGCTGTGATTGCTCGATTCAAACAATCGAGTTCCGTATTTCCACTGTTTCGAGCGACTCGCTATCGATTCGTCAACGAAGATGAAGTATGAAGTTTATGAAAGATCTAGGTGAACGAATTCCCGTGTCGCCAAAAAGATGTAGAGTTTCTCGATGCAAATGATCGATGGGAGCCGCAAAATATCGTTTAGTTTAACCCTGCTCCTCCTTATCGTTCGCATCTCCACAATACCGGCTTCAGAAAACGTGAAGAAAGCGACTCAACCGAAGCAGGACTTCAGTTCGAGTTCGGCAAGCTCTACGACGATCGACGATGCCAAAAGAAATACCGTCGATGTTAAAAGCAGTTCTGTCGCTATGGAACCACCCATCGAGGCCATTTCCAAGTCCGACTCGAAGCCATCCAGAAAACCCGAGCAAAAGAGATCAAGTAATGTCGGTCAAAACTCAGAAATCAAGAGTCGCTGCATAGAGTTCGATACAAGGAAGGATGCTACAGCAGAGTCCCTAAAAAAATCCAGAGAAAGTGGCGATAATTCTCCGGTGCATCGGGCCAGGTAAAGGTCGCCGATTCGTCGCCGGTTACTGCATCGATTCTTTTTAAAAATTTCAATAAGCCATCACGCAACTCGGCGTCCTATTTCAGCATCCTTCGGTTGGAACTCTGAAATAAATCCTCACGTCTTTTTCTGTAGACCTTGCACAAAGTAGTTAGACATATTTTGTAAAGGAAGTCTTACAAAGAGATCAGCTTAAAGCGTTATGAAACTTTTCTTCTAACTGGGTTTATCGAATTATTTTAAACTTTTGAATATGAATATGGACCACAAGGGAGGCGGTAACACTCAGTAAATTTTAATTTTATACAAATTTGTTTTAGTATAAGGCATGAAGTTTCATGAGTGTCGGGACCTTCTTTATGGACGTATTATTCACGTTGTAGAATTTTATACGATTCGGTACATTCAGTTCAGAGAAAAGTTTCATGAACGATTCACTCTTCAGATGCCACTTTCACATCCCCTTAAACAGTAAGTGACGATTGTAGACAGGAAGAGTACGAAGAGAGCCTTGAAGACGAGGACTTGGAGGAGGTCGATGCCGAAGAAGAGACGCGACGCTACCGCCCTCGTTATCGTCTTCGCGCCAGCGAGGACGAGGTCCGAAGGAAGGACCTGAGGAAGAGATACGAAGACGACGAGGAGGAGGAGGAGGACACCTATCGAGCCTCGAAGCGTTTCGGTACGGTTCAAGAGTCCAGTTCGCGAATGTTCCTCCCATGGACGAGAAAGCGAGCGGCGAAGGCAAGCTTTAAGTCGTGTCCACTCTCGAGAGGAAGAGGGGCGACTTAAACGCGATGGTTCTGCAAGCGCGCTTTCACCATAGACCGGTTCTAGATCTTGTTCGATCGGGGTACCAAAATTTCCGCTGGCCTCTTTCGTGCGGGGATGCTGCGTGGAAAATCACCAGCCAGTCCCGAAACGCTGGACCAGGGCCAAGGGAACAACTCCGCGTGCTTTCACCACCTTCCGATGCCGAAACATCGAACACCTGAAAGACATTTTCCAATTCAGTTCTAAAAGAAAGCGTTGCGTAGTCCCTCTTTAATGCTGTACATTGGTGGATATGAATGCCTCCCTTGTGGATATAGTACTGCCAGTGCAAGAGAAGAAGGCATTCGTGTCCGTCACTGTACAATTAGAGTAAAATAATTCTACCAGGTCGGATTTCGCTTCGGCTGACCAGGTGGTGGGAGGTGGACGAACCAATTGATATGAATTACTAGGGGGCGTCTCCAGCGAGGGACTGCCTCTTCGTGATCGTGGTTAGTAATTTCTGCATTTCTGACATTAGGACGACCCAATCGGCAAGGACCGAAGGTCTGGGATCAATGGGGTAAATGGTCCTCCTGTAGCGTCAGCTGTGGCGTTGGCAAGCTGACGAGGTGGCGACATTGCATCGGCGGAAGTTGCTCCCTGGGCGAGAAGGAAGCGCAATTAAAGACTTGCACCTTTGCAGCCTGCTGATATCGGCCCATTTTGTAACGATACGTCCACTCCGCGTGGCGATGTCTCGAATAAAGTGGATGTAATAAAGCGCTCGTCTCTCTATTGGTCCAGACCAGGAACTGAAGATCTGGGATCAGTGGGGGAAATGGTCCTGCTGTAGTACAACTTGTGGGCCCGGCAGATCCACCAGGTGGAGACATTGCATCGGTGGCGGATGCGACTCCGGGGAAAAAGAGGCACAGCTCAGACGGTGCCAGATAAAGCCTTGCTGATGGGGCCATGTAGACTTATAAAGGATCCTTCATAGGTTGCTAATAAAGGACGACCATTCATCGAATATCACCTGGCTTAGAATTTATCTTCGGTCGTCTCCAGCAACGGGTTCAATAACGCTCGTGAAAATAAGAGACATGTTTATTCGCTTTCAAAATATTCCTCGGTTTTGTAGATCGTTGGAGGCTCGAATTTCGTTGACCTAGCCGGTACGGCAGGTTCTGGAGTTTTCTTCTGAAACAGATTAGTTCATTTTCATCCCTGCCATGTTTTGGAAGGAATCTTTAACTTACAAAAAAGGACAGGGGATTGATCATTCCAAAAATTCGATCTGAAACTCCTAATGCCGCTTCGGCATTGTCCACTGCAGTCTCCATAGCAGTTAGTTCAGTGTTGACTCGAGCTATGACTTTTTGTAGAGCATCAACTCGCATCCACATAGTTCCCAGTTCTGACCTTACGGACTCTATTCGTGGGATATTCTCGCTCATACACTGTGCTCCTTCGGTCTGAACCTGAAAGAAATACAGGGGTGGTATTAAAAGAACTTACATATCTCAATCTTCCAAAAATACGTATAATGTATAAAGCCCACCATTCCAATGATAGACTCGAACTCCTCGAGACGCATCAAGGTGTCTTCGATAGTCTCATGAGCGTTTTCTATCTGAAGCAGAAAGCGGACATTAATTTCAAAATATTATTCTCAGTACTGTTCAAATTTAAATAAACAATATCTGGGCATTCTTCCGTCGCTGTTATGCGAGATTTTCTACCGATGATTACTTGTCAATTGAACACTTTTACCATAACAATCTTATGCCATGTGGATCACTTCGTTACAGTAAATCATCCGAGTAAAAAGTCACCTGTTTGGATAAATCCATTTTAGCGAACGCCGCATAATCCTTCGCCAATTGCTCGGCCATGATTCAATTAAAAACAGTTTTGCCCACGTTTAATTGCTGACGGAAATCAAAGACGAAAATCATCTAAAATCATCGAAACTGTCAACAAGTGCAGGTACTTCGAGCACGTGAAGTTGCCTGCACTGCGTACGTTCGCGCAGGGGTTCTGCGCAGCACAGAAGAATCGGTCAGAGGACGCCATTTTGAAATCACAGAACTACGAAATGGAGCTATTCGTTATCAAATAAAATGCTTAGTTTACTAATAAATAAATCCAATTACCCTGTAGTGTCATTCCCGTTCTATTTAATTAAAACCCTAATTATCCTAGTTTTTCCACGACAGGTTTCCGTCACAACCAAGTACGACGAAATCCTACCAAGTGAGAAAGCTCATTGCGCGGGAAATTAAAACCGAGCGATGCAAACGCAACTCGAGACTCTTACCTCGTCAATTTCCCGATTTCTCAAGCACAAGTGCGAAGCGACATTTCGATATAATCGCAAGTAGGACGTTAGATTGCATCAAACGTTGCATTGCGCTCTGGTAACGATCGCAAGAATCGTGCAATCATTCACATAGACATAGACTCATAAAAGAGAGAATAGTAAATATAGATACCGATTACGATGAAAAGTCATGCCAGTCGCCTCGTATTAATACAATATATGCAATCATTCCACTCAATCGATTTAAAAAAAAAACAGCCGGGGAAAACTAAATTGATTGAACTAATGTACGGTAATTTAAGGTGATAGACTTATCAAGTATTATTTTAGGATTACGAGCCTGCTGTTGCCGCTTACCCGTCTGATTATGCCAGTACTTATTAAACTGTTTCACCTGGAAAACCCATTTCGAGATGTACAAGGAGTGATCAAGTATCGACGTCGATTTTCCACGGGAACCCCGTGTCACATCGCCCCTCCGATTCCGCCATTATTTATTACGCAATGCAGAGAACAGCAATTTTATCTGTTCGGCCGTGAATGTCGCAAAAACACCAAACCTGTGCTAGTATGCAATTTCGACCTGTTTAGACTCCTTTTCGAATTATTTATTACCGCTGGCATTCCATACAGACTTTTAATTTTCAATATGATTATAGATCAAGCTAATGGACAGGAATCATGGTCGAAGGCTCCGTATAAAAGGGTGCTTTATTAAAATATTTCCGCTGCTTTGCTGAACCCTTTGACCGGCCCCTAAAAGCGCCTCTTTAATAGCTGTAATGAAGCATCCTCTAAGTGCCCAATATTGGCCGACCGCGTGTTAATTGCCGTTTCGGGTCGATTTCGTAATCGCGCTTCGCTTAACGATTAATGATACTTTGCATACATGTCTCGGCGAGTGACTTGCGATTAATGCAATGGCGAGAAAAACGCAGAAGACCGAACAGATGCTTATTCTTGAAAAAAACTTATGGAGGAATAGAAATCGTATTACTATTTTCCGGGATTATTATCCATGATCTTTAATCATCAGTTGTCAGGGGGCAGGTTTTTACTCTACTTTCGACCTCTGAACCTAATTGCATTTTGTTTTCCTTTTTTTTTTATTTTCTGTCAGAAGTCACGCAGTGCTTGTGCGTAATAATATTCCGGGATTTACTAAACTTTTCACGAAGCCTCTGAAAAGCATGAGTTTGATGACCACGTGCGATTTTAAGGAGTAAAAAGTTCAAGTGCGCGTCGACCGCGATTTCGCAACTTTTCGATGATTATCGAGGAAGGATCCTTTCCCCAGGACTCCGGTGCCCTTGGGTCCGGAGGATAAAATAAAAGGAAGGAAACTGGAGATCGGAGACCCCGAAAACGCTACGAAGGCTCTTGCTTAATCAGGAAACATTGCCGTAGTTCAGGGTCTGCAACTTTTTGCCATTTTGACATTTCGATCGGCCTGAAAGTCGGGAGGTCTGGTCTCCAGGGGGCCCTACTTTCCTAGATTTGAAACTGGATTTATTTGGGAACGATTTAACTTAATCTCCGACACTTTCTCGAGCGGATGTTCCCACGGTTAATTTCTTTGCTTGTGTGTCCAGGTGGAGGCGCTCTTTCAGGCGATTCACGTAATCCAAGGCTTTTGAGCTTTACCAGGTTTAAGCTCGACTCGACCTCCAGCCGTGTTAATTGCGAAACCCAATGTTAATAGCTCCTCGCTACTCTCTTCATGAGATATTTCTGTTACCATCTTCTTCAACAACACGGCTGGGTAATTCGTATACAAACAATAATTTTTCCTCAAGGAATATTCGCGGTACCTGCCGTGTCGAAGATCACGGTAAGGCGCGTGTCGTACAGTAAAAACATAATAAAGCAGAGGACAAATACATGATTTAAGATTTCCTCCCAAGAGCAGGTCGAGTTGACAATTAACATTCACCGAAGTGACCTGACGACTTCGCAAGAAGTACATATACTATTATGCAAAAACTAATCGGTGATTCTATAATTGAGAACTGACGCATTTATCGGTTCTTGGGAAAATTTGCGTTAATTGCGTTCAATACGTGTATTATTGTTATTATTCCTGTACTATTGTATTACACCTTCTTGGTGATCTAAGAACACAATAATGCCAGTACACTGATAAGAACCGATTTAAATTTACATAAATTTTACATTGGAGTTTGATACGTAGAGAATCGTAAAGTGGGAAAAATAAGAAATTAGAAAATGCATAAATACACACGACCGGGTATTTACCGTATTAGTGCAATTATGATTGAATGTAAATGTAATATTACATTATAATTTTTGTCTTTAACTGAACTTAGATGCTGGATGTGTCGTTACAGAGCAATGTCATTTTACTGCAATTCATTGTGACTTCAGAATAACTGATGATTGAGTTTGTCGTTATTATCAGTGGGAACCAAAGTTATTATCAGAAGGGGAACCAAATCGGAGCAACTGCATCAGGTTCAACCAACTAGTCTGCAACATGGTATAAATTGCACTGCACTGAGCTACCCTGGCAATGGGTTACTTCAAGTGGGTCATGAAACTGGTTTACTTGATCATGATACGCACATGTAATCGTTTCCTTCAACATTCTATAAATGTGCGACTCTAGTGTAAAATTTCCGAAAAAGAATCCCATCTCTCCTAATTTTGCAGGTGCGTAGATCTATACGTCACGAGGAGAAGAACAAAGGAGAAAAAAGTGAAGTTCTTGAAGGACTTCTTGATGATCCGTCGACGAGAAAGAAAAGATGATTGACGAATTTCAAAGAGAATTTGAAAGAATTTCAAAAAATCGACGTCTCAGGATATTTTTCTATTGCTTGGAATTCATAAAGTGGCCGAAAGTCGTTCCTCACGTCCTTTGAAACACAGCTCCGTTCACTTGGTTAAGTAACAGCTTCGGTAATACCGTAATGCACCGGAATATGGGTCAATCGTAGTTGCTACACGAAGGCAAGGATTCCCATTGACAATCCATGGGATTCGATTTTCAGGAGAGTCGAAGACGCTACTTGACACTTCACTTCCAGGACGAAAATTGGGACAGTCGATCCGAAGGACTCCCAGGAGATCCACAAGACACCGAAGTTCCAGACTGCAAGGACGCAAGTCTCGGAAGAAAAAGAACAACCCTAAATACCGGTTCTTCAGTGTACCCAACATCATCGAGTTACCATGACCACACTGAAAAAAAATGAGTTGACCGAATCAAATACATATTGTTGACATACATACACGTGACGTAACGCGTAAAAAAGAAAAACACCATTACTTATGCATCAACCCAATAGTTGGCTGAATCTTATACGATGGCAAGGAAGAATTCTTTTGTAGAGAAGAAAATTTGACATTGACTTAAATGAATTTTCTTTACTCGATGTATTCAATTGCAGGATTTTCTTGTCGCAGTGCATGTTTCTTTGAGTCAACCAATTTTTTCCCTCATTGCAGAGACATCCTTGTCCAGTTTCGTACCACCTTATCAACTCTACCGTAAAGCAGTCCAGAGATTCACCGATTAATAATCAAGCCACAAGTACCTTCCCTGAAGAGAAAACCCAGCTGGAAAACTGAAGAGTAAACAAGTCCTTGGAATTTAGCCGAACGTCTCGTGCGAAAGGAAAATTAGCGACGTCGAGGAGAGAAGGGACGGTGCACGAGTTCAAGATGGGTGGCACTTGTCCATGTAGCGGTAATGATAAGGTAAACAGTGGCACATGGGGCTGCATGTGCATGATACAACAAGTAAATGTAGAGATCGGAGGTTTTTGCCGGTTTTACTCGAACGAAAACGAAGGAAAGAGAAGAGGAAAAGCCTGGCTTCGAGGTGGGGAGATCGCTAGTCGCTGCAACAGTACTCGGCTGGGACTACTTAGGAGCTCAGTGAGTTCTCGTTCGGTTCACCATCCACGAGTCCCTCTCGTTCACCTGCGATTGGTCACCGAGAAGTGAGAAACAGGTGTGTACACATCCAAGTCCATCCATATATTCCCGCATAAATAAAGAAAAAGTGTTATTAACCAAAAGGAAGTCGCACGGTGGCCTGGTATACCGGATAGACCCTGAAGAGTCTTCCCGAAGAGTGGAATAGCTCGAAGAAATTCGACTCGAATCACCATCGATCCGCACCTCCGTCTTCCTGAAGCCGATCCTCATACATTGTTAAACTGGCCGGGTAGCCGATTGTTTTCCCTGCGGTTTCTACGGCTCCTTGCTCCACTTTCTCGAGCTCCGGAAGCGTGCAATTGTCTTGCTATTATTCCGAAAATGTATATTTCATTTGTGAGGTATCTTCCAGAGTGGGCCGAGTGAATCTCGGTCGGTCGAATGAGTACTTTGCAGAGACTTGAAAATGTTGAAATTCATTTAAAAGGGCAATGGAGCGTAGAAACCTGTACCTGTGACAGTGTCGAATCAGTGCACCGTTATCGGGATAATTACTTGCATTGATGTATGACCTGGGGAGACTTGAAATTCATTTCTACACACCCTGGCGACTTCTAAGTCGCTCTGAAAGTAACATTTCGCGGGCATTTTATTTTCCTTTTTTTTTATGGGCACGATTTAAGTGTTGCAATGGCTTGCTTTATGGCATTTCTGTACTGTGCCGGTATTACGTATGAATGCACGTGTATGGGCCGACTTTCTTATGGACTTAATGCAATACTGGCAGTTTTAAATTTGCGGGGGGAGAAATGTGCTACCGGTCTGGAAGTAAATAAATATCGTTGCCAATTCTGCAGTCAAGGAATGGACCCGTTGCATGCCATTGGGAATTCTTTAAGCCGTACTTGACGTAACAAGGACTGAAAACGATGCATCGATACTTGCAGTGGAATTTTCATAAAACATTCAGTACGCCGAGCAAATTTTCGCACTTTCACGTCCACCGACATGACAAGGTGATCAAAACACTTCATTACTATTTACATACACCATTCGTCTTCCAAGCATATGCGGAATATGCAGATTCATTCGTCAGCGGCGCAATAAATAATAATCAAGGGGAATAAACACGGAGATGGGTAGCCATGAACCTTGGCCCGATGTAAAAAACGTCAAAGGAAGAGAAATTATAAAGGAAGACATCATTAGGAAGGACGTCAAGGACGCGATTACTCGTCGTGTCGTGGGTCAGTTCCCCAGGGAATCGACATTGATCATCTTCCTGGACTCCACGAGGTGACAAATCTTACGATCCGTCACCTTTGGCTCAATGGACGAGGCCTGAAAAGATCCTCTTCAGGGTCGATTAAATTCGAGATAAATTTGAAACATAAATCTGACTTCCTTACGTCGTGACATCAGATCGTCCCTCCGGCAGTTCTCCAAGACCTCGACTTAACTGATGACGACCTTGAAAGAATCCTGATTACGCAATGGAGTCATAATCGATGATCGATATTCCGAGGAAGAGGCCACGAAAATGTCTTCGAAACGTCGAATAACCTCCAGGATTAACTTTGGAATTCAGGGAATTTCCCCATACGGTTAACGAGGCCGCTGGAAATATTTGTAATCGTAAACAGATCGATGGATGTCGTTTTGCGTTGGTCTACATACCGGCAGTCGATTCTCGAGTGCACCTTTGAGGGTACTTTCACCTTCATTGTAGAGTAACCTCGACTCCGAAGCAATTGGCCGTAATCGATTTTGCTTTCCGCTAATATTTTTTTCCCCTCAATTTTTTCAACTTTGAGGACGACCGCTTTATACCGGGTATGACTTCATCTGGACGTCATTCGAGCCAGTTTTTTCTTTTTTTTTTTTTCTCTCGAGTGCTCGATCGCCTTTGTGCGCGCGAAATGAATTGCGAAGTTAAAGGATACGAGATGCGTTGCGAAGTTAAAAGGAGCGATTGCAGAATGAGCGTTAAAAGATTTCGGCAGGGAGACTCCCGTAATTCGAGATTATTCAAGTGCGTAGTTTACGAGAGGAGCGTTTTAAATCTTCGCGAATTGAGCGGCTCTCTTTTGCGATCGCGGCTGTATTTAAGCGAAACGAGGGTTTATTTTTCCGCATTCGGCAATTGTTCGTCCCGGTGGTATTGGCCGTAAACGCGAGGCGATGAAGATTTATGCCGATTGCAATTTATTTTCTATATGACTTGATATCCGACGATGATAGCAGTCGTAAAGACGTTACTGCTCCTCGGTGTCGTTGCAATTTACTTTACGGAGGCCGGATTCAATTTGAAGGCGAATAAGCCTTTCCTTATCCTCATTTCGCCCGCGTTAACGTAATTAACTGAAAACGGTAATTGACTGTCGCCGAGTCTGGTTAAATCCGCATCGACTTTGCCCATTCTTCATTTTACTTCCTCATCGATTCCGAGTTTAGTTAACGTAATTGGCCTGTCGATTAAATGCCTGCATTGGACTTGAATGAAATCCCAACCGAGCAATCCAATTACACGTAGCACGTTAATTAAACGAATCGGGATCGACTGGACGTACGATTTCCCAATTAATTTACAATTTAGTAATTATTTACCATACCCGCCGTTTCGTTACATCCCATTACCAAATGTCAAGGATGTGACGTCGAATTGTAGCGAAGACGTCGCTCGGTCATAAATTCGAAAGTTTTACTGCAGAATTTTATTGATAGCAATTCAGGTGTCATTAGAGTGGCAATTTATTGTCATGCCGCGAAAATGTCAGTAGGCGCTGACATTTCCGGGAGTTCTTTATCATGAGCTTTGACCCGTCAAATCCGACGATCGGGTCACATTCTAAATTATTTCGAGGAGGTCCTTCTGCCTAGTGACTCAGCTGTCATCATTGACAGGACCGTTTCGTCTCCATTTATCTCCATCAATCCATGATGTATCGAACCAATACCAACACGTGTCTCGGTGAACACATTCATATGCGGAACGCGCTCGACCTGCCCGAGGAACCACGATGACAAGGCATCATTTTATGCCAAAACGAAGTACCTGTACGTCTATCGAGCGAAAGGTCGTCTAGAAAGAGAAGAGAGGAAGCATTCTACGAGAGGAGTCATTTTTCCCGTCGAAAGTGCATACACAAGACTCATCTGCAGCGCGCTCGTTCGGCGCTGCATCTTAGCGCGAAGCAAGGACGTCGAAAAATTAGAAAATAAATTACCTAGCATTTTAAAAGGTGGCTCGAAGATCCTAAAAAGTAGAAAACAACGGATTGATTCTGTATATCATTAAGATAATTCGTGGAAAATTGGAGGAAATTTGGAAACGAATATTGGGGCCTCCACTTGGACCCGCGTACTCGGACACTTCGAGAAGATTTTCATGAATGAGAAATTTAAAATAGGAGCAGACCACGATAGGAAGTGGAAAACAGACAATCGGCTTTATGATATTAAGATAATTTCAGAAGAATTGGATGGAAATAAGATGCAAAAATTCAGCCCTCTGTTTGGATCCTTCGAGCGGATTTTCAGTGATTACGAATTTCAGAGTTGAGGAGAAAATCAAAGCCAAGACAATCGGTTATATGATATCAAGTCGATGTTAAGATAACTCGATGTGGATGATATTTCTGCGAGAAAAATGTTCTCGCAGAAAATCAGGGAAAATTCGGACCTCCACGTGGGGCTATACTGCACTCACTGTCGGCACGTGTTTTAATGCAGTTATGACTCGATACCCACAGCGAGCAGGTCGCTCGCACGACTCGCAAAGGCCTTTAGGCCTTTCACCGATTTTCACTTCTCGGACGGCCCGGCTTTGGACTCATGGCTTGCTCAATCTCAGCCGAAGAGAGCAACTCACTCCTCGTTGCTCCACCGGAATTCCTGCGCTACGCGTTTCTAGCCCTTTCGCGATTTCGAGATGCAGCCGAAAAAAGGGACGGAAACCTTCCTCGACACGAAGGGAAGAGAAGACGAGAGGTCCGGGGCTCGATAAGGTTGCCACATGGCGAAAGGTCGTACAATCGGGAGGGGCTCTGGGGATATTCCACTGAACGATCAAGAACGCTCTCGCCAAAGGTGCCCAGGAAGGGAGTACTCGCCGAAAACGTCGCTTTTGATTCGTGGTCGAGACACCAAGAGACACCTCGTGGGGGTCCAGAGAGAACCTGAAGAGACCTTGTCGAATTATCCATACTGGACGCTTCTTCTTGTTTTTATCTTTTTCGTGGTATCAAGGTGACGCGAAACCGCCCACCGAGTCGATTTTCATGAAACAATATTTTTTTTAAGGGTGTTCAACAGAATTCTACGGAACTTTAACACGTGACTCGAGAGCTCCTAATGTCTTGGCACTCCTACATTTTTTGGCGAAATAAAAATTTAGGCTAAATCAAAGAATCTCGTTGGAATCGACTACGGTGAGAAGAGAAAAGACTTTATTAAACCGAAGAACTATTTTATTAATTCGAAGGGTACGATTGAATACGATTGAAATAAACTCGAATTAATTGAACGCAACATTTCCTTGAAAAATTATGGCAATTTATATCGAATTATTTGGGTGAAATGATTAATCTTTGAATGAAGAAAATATTTCCTTGGTTCAATGGTACTTTTTATTCTCGGTCTAGTTTTGGGGGCTTCACGTTAATTTGAGTCAGAACGAGGTGGTTAATTTTGATGACGGTGGAGATTAGGGGGTGATAAAAAGTGAAAGGAAAATGGAGGAGAAAATGAGAATGGGAGAAATTAATCACCTGGTCGTCCTTCATGTTTCAGGGGCGAGCATGGAAGAGCTGACCGAAATCCAGTCCTTTTACAAGGGCAAGACGCTCTTCATTACCGGTGGCTCTGGCTTCATGGGAAAGGTGCTCGTGGAGAAGCTGCTCTTCAGCTGCAGCGACCTCGACAAGATCTATTTACTTCTCAGGCCTAAAAGGGGTCGCACCCCCGAACTTCGAGTCGACGACATGTTCAAGAGCCCCGTAAGGCCGATCACGAATCCATAAAATAAGAAAATTGTTTACACCTCCCCTACATGGTTCTAAAACCGAGATGCTTCTTCCAGATGTTCAACAGGGTCAGGAAATTGAAACCCCAAGTCTTCAAGAAGGTAGTGCCCCTCTTGGGGGACGTCACCCTCGAGAATCTCGGCTTGACCCAGGAACAGCTGGAGCTTCTTGAGAACGAAGTTCATGTATTCTTCCATGGGGCAGCGACCCTGAGGTTGGAGGCGAAGCTGAAGGACGCCATAGAGATGAACACGGTAACGAGGGCGACGTATTATCCCCTATTCGTATATCTGAATTATTTATGCGCTGTCGCAAATTATTCCTACTTTTATGCGAAATTCGAGGAGATCAGTAGATGGAACACTGCGTAAATCTAAATTTATAGTAAGCAGCCGTTTGAGGGGTACTTTATTCGCGCTGAACGAGGTTGGATTTGCTCTTCAAGGTAGGCACCAAGAGAGTGCTGGACCTGGCCAAGCGGATGAAGAAGCTGCAAGCATTCGTCCACCTGAGCACCGCCTTCTGCCACGTGGACCAGGCGGAGCTCGGCGAAAGAGTCTACGATTCTCCAGACGACCCCCAGGATGTCATGAGACTCATCCAATGGATGGACGAGAGTGCCCTCGACCTCGTCACGCCCAAGTAATAAAAAATTCATACACAGGGTCACCTGTTAAATAGTTTACCAGGATCCCGTGAAGTCGGACGCCAACGCCGGCACTAAACCAGATTTTCCGGCCGAACGGTACACGTAGCGAAAAAGCGTTTCCCATAAAAGTCCCCGAGAACGATCCGGGGAACAACTTTTGTTCGGAAGTTTTCGCAATCCCGAGCTTCCCCGAGGCGGGAAGTTGCGTTTTATTCGCCGACAAAGTCTCCCCGGGAGACCTCGGAGGCGTTTTACATTGGTTGAATTAATCGGAGGATTTCTTGGCGGATCGTTTTGTCATCTAGCTTATTAATATTCGCCGAGCCGTGATAATTCGACGAGTGAATATCTGAATTAATTTCGGAGAGAAAAATGGTACAGCCTCGATGTCCGACCTTCGCTTTTGGGTTCGCTTTCGTCTACTTATTGCGCGCGATATTTATGCTAATCTAATGATAATTTCTGCCGGATTGTAGATTGCTGGACCCACACCCGAATACGTACACCTACTCGAAACGTCTTGCCGAAACTTTGGTGGCCAACGAGTATCCGAATTTGCCCTGTGCCATTGCCAGGCCTTCGATCGGTGAGTGAATTCTAAAGTCCGATGGAATACCTGAAAACATTTTTTGCGAAAGGACGTTTAAAGATAATGAGCGCCTTCTTTTTGCTCACTTTTTTGCAGTTACGCCGTCATGGGTAGAACCTCTTCCGGGATGGGTGGACAGCTTGAATGGACCCGTTGGTCTCATCGTGGCAGCGGGCAAAGGTGTAATTAGATCGATGCACTGCAACGCCAATTACCACGCCGAAGTAATCCCAGTCGATATGGCAATTAATGCCCTAATAGCTATCGCACATAGAATCGGCACCAATACGCTCGATAGGTAAGTAAAAATGAATATCAAGTACTTATAATATTGACCAGAAACTGAGTCGTTCTCAAGCCAAAGTGATGAACTCCAATTTTACATATGCTTTTAATTTTAACGTCATACTTTGTCGGTGCTTATTGTTCGATTCTTACAATTACCTATTTTTTTGTCCACTCTTTGTATTGTGGAGTTAATCGGTTTGGCCGATGGATGGCTCAATTAACACATGGATGTTAATTTATTCCTGGATGAGACGCGCTGAAGAGCGAGGTAAGAGGCAATTTGCATGTTGAATCTTTGATACAGGTCGAAAAACATGCCGGTGTTCAATATCACCCAGAGTGGCGTCAAGCCCATCACGTGGGGCGAAATCTTGGAGAAAGGTAAAAAGGTAGCCCATGAATATCCCTTCGAAGGTGCGATATGGTTCCCCGATGGCGACATCCGCACCAGCAAGTTCGTGCACAACCTCATCGTCTTCTTCTTCCACATCCTGCCAGCGTACTTCATAGACTTCCTGATGCTGATCTTCCGGCAAAAGAGATTGTGAGTCCCTAGAGACCTCTGTAGTTAATGGTTCCTAAGAGGTTGATAAATCGTTAACTGGATACTCCACTCTTCAGCATGGTGAGAATCCAGAAACGCATCTCGGACGGGTTGGAGGTTCTCCAATATTTCACGACCAGGGAGTGGGTCTTCCACAACACGAATCTGCTTATCCTCTGGGGAGAGATGAATCCTAGGGACAAAAAGATCTTCCCTATAGACTTCTTGGTCATCGACGAGGTCGAGTACATGAAAAAGGTGATTTTGGGGGCGAGACAGTACTGCATGAAGGAAGATCTCTCAACCTTGCCGAAAGCTCGGACGCACCAGAAGATGTGAGTACCTCTCAAATCCAATATCATGAACCCTGAGGGGGAAAAAAAAAGTCATTGGAACAAAGAAATATTTCTCCGAATGGCACCAAGTAAATATTTTGTCAATTCAAAGAATCATTACTTTCCCACGAATCTATTCAAATAAATTGTCGTAATTCCGAAGAAATATTGTATCCAATTTATTGCAGTTTACTTCAGTCTAATTCTTTGAGCTGACACAATGGTACTATTCGAAGATATTTTTTTCTGGTTCAATGGCACTATTTTTCCAGCAGAAGATTAGACGGAATATTGCATCTCTTGATTCCTCACAGATTGTACGTTCTTCATGTGACGACCGTCTACTTGTTCTACTTCGGCATCCTCTACTTCATCTACAAACAGTCCGAAGTAGCCAGATTTTGCCTGGACTCGGTTACGGAGAAGATGAAGTCGCTACCGATAATCGGCGGTTTGGCGAATAAGGCTCACCTCTGAATATTCGAGCATCTCCTCGGTGCTCCTCCCTGCTCATCTCCATGCATCTCTACGGCATTGCACCCTTTATGCACTAGAATGCAGCCAGGAACTCGGAACTTGCGATAGCGCGAAGACGACGAGTCAGTCGAGTGCAACGAGCTCGAGCTCGGCCTCGAAAGCTCGAAAGCGAAGAAAAGCTCTTGGCGAGGCTTTTTTTCCTGCTCTGGTCAGACCTTGAAAGAAATAATCCTAAAGACACACGGCCTGAACCTTTTTCCCCTTTTTCTACCGCACATACCGTGACTGGATGTACCTTTAGGATTATCCTCGTGTTCGACCTTTACCCGTCGTTCTTGAATCTCAAGGCACGGAATCGCGATTCCGATTATATACATATTTTTTTTAGCTAATTTAGGGGAAAAGTTTGTAAAATAGGGAATATTGTAGGAACTTGATGCCCGATAACCTACCCAAGAGCGGTTTAACAGTCCTAAATCAAAGTTACTCCTGGTAAATCCCATCATCGTGTTCAACCATTCTCCTTCGTGCATCGTACTCGAATCCCGAGGCACGGAATCGCGATTCCGATTTTGTTTTATTTTTTCTTTAGTTAATTTAAGGGAACAGTTTGTAAAATAGGGAATACTGTAGGAACTGGGTACCCAAAAACCTAGAACTCCGTTCACAGAGCGGTTCAACAGTCCTCAATCAAAGTTGCTCATGGGTAAATCCTGGGACTTGCTCAATCCCCGTCCACTCCGGCGAGGCCGTGATCGATGACGCTAATCCTATGCAAATTTGGAACCCTTTTTTTATTTCACATTCGTTCTCTAGCGGGGAATAAAGCGTTTAATCCAGGCAGGATTCCCTTGTAGACTCGCCGCGGAATTAATCAATTACCGGCAGTCAGGGTCTTGTTTTACACGCGGCCGCAATTACCGCATTTACTCCGTAGATAATCATTAGCCATGGGAGTGTTGACACTCGGCAGGGCAGTTATCCCCGAAATTAGCCGCAAATGGCGACGTGACATGCCAAATGGGTAAATACATTCACCCCTCTAGCGCTGCTCTTTTTTAATGGAAAACGTCCATCTGACTCAGAATTTTTAGAGTCAGGCTGCGGCCCGAAGCATCGTAGATCGTACACAATTTAATCTCTTTACAGAATAAAAGAGTACATGGCGGCATCATACTGTACATATGTACGTACATATCTGCATCACGGACCGCGCGCGTCGATGCGAACTTTTAATCTGCACACCCATTCCTATCGAATATTGGATGTGCTCGATGGGAAACCAACTCGACTCTTTCCCCTTTGTTATGCAATTATTTTCACATTCAATCCATGGTTCAATCACAGTGCCGAGGTGCACGTGAGTTCGCGGTTAATCGACCTCATCGCGGTGAAATTTCCTCGATAGTAATGCGAGCCGAAAGAGTGGAGTCAATCACCGGGGAAAATTGCCTCCACTTTTAGAACCCCTTTCTTCACAATTTTAGCGCTAAAGATGTATCGATCGATGCTTAATCATCCGTGTTTATCAGTTTTCTTGACTTTTCGTTTCATGGAGTTCGTCATTTAAGTTCTTCGTTCCGGCTGAAAGAGGGATTCCTTTTCACACCTGGAGAAAAGAAGTTGGGTTGGCTTATAGAAATATGCATTGCGACGATAAAATCCTGCAATCACATACGTCCAAAGAAATGTCAGATTGAATAAATAGAATTCGACTGAACCAACATCGACTTTTTCCCTCTGCGAAATAGTTGTTCCCTGCTATTTTACGTGATCCTGGCAGCAATATATATATTCGAATATTGTATTTTTTAGTCTACTAATTTTCTTTCTCAATGCACGATCCCTTTTTCGAATCCTCGCATTTTCGAACCAGCCGATGCCGAAGAGGGTAGCTTGAACGATTTGTAGGGACGATACGAGTGGCCGGGAAATTGAATAGTCGTTATCCTGCGAAACGGCGTGCAACGTACTACCCTCGACACGGCATCGTAAAACCGGGGGAAGCAACAGTTGTTAGTACCGGATCGCATCGAAAGATGGCGCGGAAAAGCGACACGCCAACCAACCCCGTTCCATTATTGATCCAACCCCGCAAACCTCCAAAAACCACCCCTCGAGTCGAAGGAGCCGACAAAGCAGGCCCGATCTTTGCACGCACCTTCCGCGTTCTTCCTCCACCCTAGTGCTGCCATTTTTAGCACATTTTTCTCCCCGGGAATGTGGAGATTCAAAATGGCGCTCGAATAAAAATTCCATGATCACCCTCTACCCTCAATCTCTTCGCGTTTAAAACTAAGACAGAATTTTACACGAGAACTTCCTGTATAATACTGTAAAAGGAAGTCATGGCTTCCCATTTCTTTTCATTTATATTTCCAAGCGGAAGAGTCTACACTTCATTTGCGGGTAGCGTCTTCTCTCAGCGAAACAAAATGGCGGCCACTTCCGTTCTCCACCTGGCGGCTTTTCGGGGTTTCGCTTCGAAGTTTTAGAGAAAGGAAGGGTGTAAATTTCCATTTAACTTCGATCCGATGATCGTTCGGTTCTTTGTTCCCGATTAAAAGGGGAAACTTTGTCGGAGTTAAATGGCGTGTCGGGAGGAACGAGGTGGAGGACACCCTTAAGGGGCTTTCAGGGTCCCAGGGTCCATTCGCCGAGATCTGCCTTTTCCTTCCTTTATGACTCGGCGATCATTCGGTGGCCTTAATGCCTTGGAGGTCCATTTTCCGAGCTGCTTTTCTTTTTCCCTTATTTTTTTTTCCCCTCTTCTCTACCTTAATCTTCCCTTGCGCCGCCATTGATTAACGCGAACGTGCCGGGCTTCTCTTTCGAGCCTCGTGGAGATTCTGGAATAACTAAGGGCTGCGTGTGCCGTTAAGCCGTAATGCATATTAAATTTTCCGCACCCTTAACGTCCCGCGTCCTCACCGCGGCCAATTATTTCCTCGAGTAAAGACGCCTGATAGTCCTTAATTTGTATTTCTCGTCCGTATTTGCCGTTTCATTCAACCCCAGTTGTTCGCATCAATGCCCCCAACTTTCCGCGACTTAACCGCGGCCGCAGTAAAACCGCTGCCCGATTGTCCCCTGGAAGCCGCGTAATCCGGAACGCAATAAATCTTGCTCTCTGTCTTTCGGAGGCAAACGAAACGCGACCGTAATCCAAACCTCGGAGCGGTAAAACATTAAGAGGACAAAATGAACAGAAATAAACGTTAAGTTTAATCGCGCAAAACTCCGATTTCTTCTCAAATCTCCCAAGGAATGCCGATTAAATAAAAATGAAGAATGAACTCGACAAAAATTTTCTAAACAATTTATATCCGCTGGTATTAATAAAGCGGTGAAATGTCAATCCTGAAACCACGGATGGATTTTTATTTAAGAATTCATTCGGGGAGAAATTACTAACAATGTTCATTCGCTGCGATTAACGAACTGACGGTGAAACGCGAGGGGTGAAACCGTGATAGGGCAATAATTAAGAACAAACCGCGATTAAGCATCAAACGCTCGGGAAAAATTTACTCCTAACCGCACTCGAGATGCAGCGATATTATCGCGGCATGCAATTCCTCCAAGGACTTTATTCACGAGGTCCTTAAAACGTGCCCGGAGTGGGTCACGCGAGGGTTTTTCTCCCTCGCATTTATCCCCGTATTAAATCCGAACGTAAACGTCGTGGACTTGAGACCCTTTATACATATCTCCATGTATACTTTGTACAATTCAATTTTTTAGCGTAAATAAGTCATGTCGTTGCAGATATTTCTCCTGTAATCATCTCCCAATATCTCGAATTACGTCTCCGATAAATTCCGAACGTAAACGTGGCGCACTCGAAAAGACTATTAGACCCCTTTACACATATATACATGTATATTTTGCATAATTCTATTTTTTTTTATGTAAATAAGCAATGTTGCTGTAGGGATTTGTCGTGTAATCATTCCCCAATGTATCCGATTTCGCGAAACACACGGATTCCTTTGGTACCGGCTCCTGGCGCAAGGGTGGTGCACCCTTCGGACACGCGCACGAGTGCATTGCGTGCGCGTGCAACTGGTACAAACGAGGCCGCGTCTGCGCAGGTGCCCCTTCCGATAAGCATTCAGGGGTAGATTAAGGCGCGAACTCGGCCAGTCTGAGTCCAACCACCAGAGGGTTCGCCTCCGGACACGCGAGCCCTCCGAGGGTGTCACTGAAGACACTCGTGTACCCGGTACAGCCTCGGCAACCCTTTCGAACACCACGAGAGAGTGATTCCCACTAAGGGAAGGATAACGATCATCAAGATAAGAGAAAAATAATAGAGATCGATATCGCCGAATTATGGGATATATATAAAATTTCCGGAAATATTGGGAATATTTTGGGGATTGTCTAGGGATATTCGGACTTATGGGGAACATCGGGGAAAAAGTGTCGCCTCGAGGCACGGGATAGAGGAGCGATTATGTCGGGGGCGGAAAGGGCGTGATTCCCAGTAAAGAGGATAGAAAAATACAGAGAAGAAGGAGAAATATCCAGTGCGTCGAAATTGTGGGATAGTTCGGATTATCGGAATTTTTGGGAAATCCGAAAGGGGAATTTTTTGGGGCAGTGAATTGGATTTCCCTGTAAGTGTCGCTCATAGGCGGCACATTTTTTCCAACTTCCGGGGTCATTGGAGGTGGCTGGGAAAATCGCGAAAAAAGTGTCACCCCCCAAGAGAGGGAGAGGAGCGATTATGTCAGGTGCGAGGAGGGCGGGAGATCGCGAGGTCGTAGGTGCCAAGGTGGGACCTACTGAGGGTGGACTTAACGAGGGGTAGGTTCGAAAACGAGTGTCGAGTCTCTGATAATGGCGCTCGTCGTGGTCGTCAAGAATTTTCAGGCCCTCAAGTGCAAGGGCGAGAAGCTTGCCAGGGTCGATTTTCGAGGTAATTTCGAAAGGTCGATAAATTATAAACAATGGTTACATGTATTGCAAAGTACCTCGGAAACCTTCTCTCTTCCTCTTGATTTATTTACCTCGAGAACGAACAGACATACGCGAACTTTTGCTTGAAATTGTCATGAATAAATTAGGTAGTGAATTAATTAATTAATTATCCGGCGCTCTGAAACCTCCTTTTCCTGGATAATTAGAATACCTTCTCCACCCTACACGTGGCATCCAATATTCATTCATCCCCCATTGCGTCGTATAACCGTGAAATGCTTCTCTAAATTACACTTGGCCATTATCGCTGATTCACATCTCGTTCTTCGTTCATGGTAATTAGCAGTGACTAAAAGGAAGTCCGTAATTAATTTCCCCGATTAAAGCCTCGATCCTAGAAAAGTTAATTCTCCCTCGGATTTACCTCTTCCTCCTCTAGGACGTCGTCGGGTGATTTTCTCCCTTTTTCCCGGGTACTGGTTTAAAATTGCAGGATCCCGATAAAGCACGCCAGGAATTTTCTATGGGGCTGCCCGAAATTCACCGTGGGGATCTATTTACGTTGGGTTCGATCGATTTGCCCCTTGTGCAGCACGAGCTCGGCTCACCCCCCGAAGGGCAGAAGGGGATATTGAATTATCCATGGGAGTCGGAGGTACCGAATTGCATGGGGAGTTATTTTTATCGAGGGGGTGGAGGCAACCTCGGAAGTCTGAAATCCCTTTGTAAAGCGAGGAATTTCTAACTGAGGGCGAGTAAACTATTCGAAGAGGGTGAACCGCCCCAAGGTCTGCGTCGCGAATAATGCCGGCCGGCACTTCACCCCGGCGAAGGGGTTGCGCCAGGTCAGGAACTTAATTCCAATTGCCCTCTTTGATTTTTCCAAAATTTCTCCCGACCAATTCTTGTGTCCTATCCCAAACTTGTGTAAAAAAATTAGATTTCAAAGATTCGACTCCACCCCCGATTTGTGGGAATTTTTTAAAGAATATCAGGAAGAGTCGAGGAATCAGTGGAAATTCCCGACGCGGTCAGCCATTCCAATTTTTTTTTATTTCTTATGAGAAACGATCACGGTGAGGTATTCCTGCGCTGAAAATAGCGAAATCAGGAATAATGAAGTTTGTGAGATTTACATCTTGAATATGCAATCCGCAACCCTGGACACACTACTTGGCGGTCCCTCGACACCCGCGCTCTGTATATTTCACCTAGTCTTACAGTACCATATTTGCATCGCTAATTCCCTAGAATTACGCACGCCGCTCGGCATGAATTTACAGGATCGACTGCGTAGAGGATAGCTACCCCTTTTGTTAATATTATTACTCCGATATACGCGGCATTCCTCGCGTGCCTTCGCCCCGTCGACTTCGCAGCCCCATTTCGCGCCTACCTACAGGCGTGTGTCCAGAATTTACGACACGCATCCGGCTGGAAATAAACACAGCCTAAATAAAGCTTCCTTTTTCATAATTTCTGTCTTATCTCGGGCCGTGCACCCGCTAGCAAAGAGCCATAAATTCTCGCCGAAGCGCCCTTCGAGGTGATGGCAGAGGGGTGAATTCTATTAAATTTGCACTCTCTCTTCCCTCAGAAGATACACATGAAACTTCGCTGTGATTTCGACACCCACGCATTATCAAAATTCGCAGAAATATTATGAGAGCAGTGGTTCCTAACAAATTCATATTTCCCTGTGTATACGTAAAGCTTATGTGTTATAAGATATGTTATAAAATGCAACTGGTAGAAAGATAGGAATTTTTTGTTTGGACGAGAGGCACTGGATGCGGGAATGAAAAAAATATATTTCTTTTTGTTCCAGGCGTATCGCACTATTCGAGGAACCTCGAAGAAGATGGCGACCTCGTCACCGTGGAACAGGTGAGCTCGATCAAGCAAAGGGCTCGGTGGATGGCCGGATAGTTGTCGAATTGGATTTCTACTCGGCACGTTTGGAATTTCGCGGTGGATGAAATTCTCTCGGAAATTCTCGCCCGGGAAATTACACCCTGCGGATTCCGCAAACGGGAAAACTCGCCGAACTTCCGCAAGCCTAAGGCCAGAAAGCTCCGACTTTCCGGTCTCACTCGATCCGGAAGTGAGGTCGATAAAATGCTATCCGGCTTGCTGGGCACGCAGAAGGCTGAAAGGGCCTCTCACGAATTTTTTTTTTTCAATATTATTTTCCGAAAAAATTCCTTTTGAAACGAGCCCAAATATGGAGGACGCAGGGCGACCAATTATTTTTCCTTTTAATTCCTCCGAACTCGTCGACCAGCTGCAATGCAATTTGCATCCATTACCGAGACTGCCTTTCGCAGAATTAAATGAATTGTCGTTTCGACAATGACTCCTCCTCGGAGGAAACTTGTGAATGAGGTCGGTAAAATGCTATCAGACTTGGCGGAGGCGCAGGAGGTTAAAAATAACCCCTCACGAATTTTTAAAATATTTCTTTCCGAAATATTCCATTTGAAACGAGTTTAAATATGGAGAGTGGAGGGTGATTATTTTTTCTTTTGATTCCTCTGAACGCGTCGACCGGTTGGGACCCAATTTGCATCCATTACCGAGGCCGCCTTTCGCAAAATTAAACGAGTTGTCGTATTGACAATGACTCCTCCTTTGGAGAAACTTGCGAGCCCGGGAAGCCCCGGGTCGCTGCCTGAATTTTGAAAAGACATTTTGGCAAAAGGGAAAAAGGTATAAATGTTTACCTTGTGTTAAGAGCAAAGAGCGACGGCGGAAGAAAAGGGAATAAGTCGAGAAGGCCCGGCAGGCATGTGTCACGGCTTCGTTTACCTTTTTCAATTGAAGGGAAACTGATGGGGAAAATATTTCCCGCAAGTTTCCCAACAAAATGGCGAACTTCGGGAGGAAGATCGTTAATTGCACAAAGCTTCCTCCCGGACAGAAGAGAATTCCAATTTTCGGCCTAACTCGGCGAAAGTGGAGGGCAGAACTTTCGCAATTTTCAGCCCAACACTTGGAGGCACCTGCGAGAGGATTTGCCCAGTTAAAAGTCCAGGACGGTACATTTTCAATGGACGCATCTGCGAGTTGCGAACTCCGAACCGAGTTTATAGTTGAAGTTCACGTCCGAGTTTGCTATTATAAATTGGAGGGCCCGGCGGTTAATCTCAAGTTTCGAGTAACCCTAAATATTGAAGGAATACTGAGTGCCAACCTGTACACGAAAGATACGCGAAAGCGTATCAACTTCGGAATGCGAGATGTCAATTACAGGAAAGTAAAAGATTAGCTTTATGGATTCTTATTTTAAACTGTGACTAGGTATTCTTCATTTTTAACGGTTAATAGGTAAAGACGGGAAATACCTGTATTATAATTAAATAATGGGCTCCTTCTCGGTGAACCCAGGAGCGCGAAAATGGCGACGCATCGACCGGTCTTCGTGACTTTAAAAGTCATGGGCGACGCGAAAAGAACATGCGTGAGGCGAAAATCGATCGAACGAGAGAACGGGTCACCAAGGTAGGACAAAATCGCAAAAAAGTAGAGGCAGGGTCACCAGGGACTGGATTTTCCCCTGTGATCGCCTGTGAATATTATGGTCTTGGAAACAATTCGCGGCGTCGCGTTCTCCGCGACCGCCATTTTGGATAACGGCGGCCGAAGTATTTCTGCAAGCGGCCGCGTCTGCAATTTACGTTTCCCCCTTCAAGTTCTCCAATAATTCCTCCTGGAGCCGGGAAACCTGTTAAACTGCAGAATTTCGATGAAAAACGAGCCGGTTTGCGAGGATTTCCTTCCTCCTTGAGGGGGTAAACTTCGTCCCACGGGTTCGCAACAGGAAGGTCGCCAGAGATCGATGGAGGACCAATCCAGGAAAGTCCGTCTCGTTAATGGGACCAATCAATTCCTACTGTGTTTATTGGCCATCCATCGACCACTGCGATACGCTACTGACCCATTATCTGAGCCTCCACCAAATGCACTTAACGATGACCCTTTCTACGAGTCCATCAATTGAGCGATTTAATTGCTTCTCACCATCCCCTAGAACATCCATAGTATCGGAAGATATACAAGAGGATGTACTAAGACGGCGTGCAAATAATTCGATTTTAAAGTACCCTTTTATATGATTAACAATTGATAATTGTACGTTACTTCTAAACATATTCACTCGCGTTAAAGGGCACGTTTATAATTCATCCAGAATTGTAAAGATATTTTATTCACCTCGAATAAGAGTTGATTTATTTCCAATTTAAATGTTTTAAAAGATATGAAATTTTACGAGGCCCTAAAATACTTCTCACGGTATCCTGGGACGTGTCCTAAGTAGAGGGACCACCTCGTGTTTTATGATTCACCTTTCTATCCCATTTTCGAGGGTAGTATGCTCCACCTCGTAAGGATGCATCAATCTTTCAGACACCTCTCTTCGTCCTTTAATGTCCCGCGAAACAACTCCTAGTACTCCTGAGAGCTCCTGTGATTGTTTATTCATACGCGGCTCCTTTCGCGAGTTTTCAGAGTTTCACCTGGAACCTGGGGGGCCCAGTCGACGAGGCCGAAGAGATCCAGGTTGCCGTCGTCACTCGAGGAGTCCTCAGGAGCGAGAAGGTCCTCGCAAAATATGTCATGGTCCTGCAGACCGTCGTGAGGGAAGGACGAGTCCTCGTCACGGATTTCCTGCAGGACCTCAACAACAAATCCCTGCCGGTTCGTAAAGAGAATTCTCTCCAATTTTCGAAAGGAAAAAAAAAATAAAAATAAGAGCCTCACTTTTCATCGCACTCCAATTTTTCCACGTGTAAACCTGCACTATCGTGAGATGAAAGGCTCCACTTTTATTGGTTTCACTCGGTTGACTTTTGGATAAGAAATTGAAATTCAAGGAAAATATCGAAAACTCAGGACAAGTCTGGCCTCGATGCACAAACGAGTGGTATCGAAGGATATCCGTATCAATACATACTTTTCTCTGCCATACTTGGTACGAGATGTCAATTGTATCGGAAACTCGTAGACTCGGAAAAGAGAAGAACGTGGCTCGGAAAATCTACGATCGATCGATCAGCCTTAAACGTGAGGAGAACGCGACGTCGGAGCTCGGCCGCGACGTAAATTCCGCCTCACATTTCGAGCACGGTTATTAATAAAAAAACGGAAGAGAAATCCTGTCTTCTGCCCGGTGAACTGTGCACACCCCGTCGATAATGGGAAAAAATTGAAGGGGCTAGGGATCAATGGGGTTCTTGAATTTTCGCCGAATTCTGGGAGATTGTCCGATTTTTTGCAGGACTTTTTTGACACGCCGGGTATCGAGGTAATTTCCGTAATCAAGGGAACCTTCGAGCTAAAGACGCATTTCTCGGGTTAATGGCTGCTGTGTGACGTGAAATACTCGCGCAAGCTCTTTCGACATGGAGCTTTCAGGGAGACAAATAGTGACGATGAGGTACAAGCCTCGTTAGCGACGTCGCTAACGATGAAAGATGCAAAAGACGTTTTGCGGCTTGCAAGTTGCGTCTTTGTGCAGTGAGGATTAAAAGCTATCTTAAATCCTGCGTGCATTGTAAAAAAAAAAAGTATTATTAATTCAGTAAACGCGTATTGGTTGTTTTATTACTTGACATTATTGTTTCTATTTAACAATATTACAATCGGTATGACGATTCTCCTATGTCGTTGGGAATTTCCTCGATTCTGCGATTTTTTGCCTAAGAAAAATTATTTTTAATGTATTAAATAGTGGTTGACGGACATTTTTTACAGTCTGTTCGAAGTATTGTATTGCTGGGAAGGTTAAATCGTTTTTTTATTTGTTTATTCCTTGTAGACCGTGGTTTGCTTCGAGGTTCGCTACGAAGCCCCCGACATCAGCTGCAGTTCTTATGCTGCGGCAGATTTGGAAGACGATCAGCAGATGCTGATCGACATCGAGCAGAACATCGCGAATCTGGAGAGGAGCTTACAGCAAGCGAACGACAGCAAACGTCGAGGCTCTTGGCATTACTCGGAGAAAAATTCGAAAAAGGGAGCTTCTCAGAGAGGGACTTCCCCCGCTACGGAGGAAAAATCGCCGAGTCGGAAAAGGTGCGTCAAAGTGCTCAGTATAACGACTGAAATCAGCGTTTCACTTTTGGAGGATCTTTGTAAAGCTCTTTAAGCGTAGATCCTCGGTTTCTGCATTTCCACGGGATTTCAAAGTTTCCACGCTTAGTGGAAAGCTAATGTCGGCTCCCTTTAACGCCGAGTCGAGCGAGTCGCTGTAAAAGCGCCCTAAAAGCGGAGACAAGCTCGAGGAGAGAAATCTGATTTCAGAGTGTCTCGAAGTGTCTTCCGCTCCCCTTTTTGTCCTTCCATTAGTAACTAGGGTAAAACATCCCTCGTGGATTTTCCAGAATTAAATTGCAGTTAATCTCGCATAATAATGTCGGGACAGGGTTGCAGAAATTCAAACCTCGAAAATTCTAAAAAATTCACGGCCTGTCGATCGATCTTGAGGGTACAGAGCAATCGTCACGAAGACTGAGTACTAATGAGAAATTGATGTACATCTAAGAAACGGGGGAGGGAGAGACGGAGATACGACGACGGGCTCGGAATACAGAAACGTGCATTCTGCGGAACTAATTGCAATCGCGGAGGATCCCTCGAAATTGGAAATACGGAAACGCGGATCCACGAAAGGCACGTCATGCCTCAATTCTATATCAGAATTTCCCCGATGGTGTACCTGAGAAACAGAGTCCCGCTCGATGCGCAATTTAATGATAACTCCGATAACAGCGTACCTCCAGGATTTACGTCAGACCCAGAAGCGAAAGATACGTTTCACCCGAAATTAAAAAAAGATCAAACGAAATCAAGGAATTACGTCAAATCCACGAGCTGGAGATACATTTCACTCGGAATTAAAAGCTAGTTTAAAAAGTACAAAAAAAAAACATAGCAACTCGCTGGAAATCCTCTTTGAAACGTAAACAAAAAACAGCTGATCCACCATTCACGACTCGGGACGTAGGGGGTGTCGAATGAAAATTTTAATTTTCCAAACATTATCGTATTTGAGCTTAATTTCTAAACTGAGATAAAATTGTCCACTCCAAGCTACGAGCAATTGATTTCCAGCAGGTCCTTTAGAGGAGCCTCGATTGCAGGAATTCGGTGCCGTTTCTCCGGGAAAACTGCGAGCATTTCGACCTCGTTTTCCGTATTTCCGGGGAAAACCGCAAAAATCGTGAAAAAAAAGGGGGGACAGCACGGTCTATTCGGCTCTAACGTTTGCCTCTGCTCTTCTGGGATTATCCTTTTTCCCCTCGTTTTCCCACATGTCCTTTTCCTTACGCCTATTTTTCTGGATTTCCTGCAAGACCTGGGATTTCGGAATTTCTTAGCGTTTATCTATGAATTATTCTATCTCTCTGGATTCGTGTCTTCGTGTCCTGCAGGATCTCGACCCTGAAGACCGTCAGGTCCTTGATCAGACTCGGCAAGCATCGGCCCCCACGTGACAGATCTTGCGACAGTAATTCCGAGACTCGAGAGCTCCTTGACACGAGGGATTCCAGTAATGTCACCTCGAACGAGCCCTCTCGAACCAACTCGATGACATCTCTGGAAACGAACGCCTCCGACGAGGAAAGTCATCTCAGTGGGAATCCCCCTCAAGAGGAGCCCCTCGTGAAACCGACGAGAGGAGTCAAGCCCAAGGTGCAACATTACTAGAATTTAAATAATTCCTAAACTCATAGCATAAATATTTACTACGAAGATGAACATGGAAACCGAGGTCGTACCTTACCCTTTGTAACAAACATTCATACACAACGGTTCTGGAAAAATATTTTTTTAACGCATCTTTAGTTAAAGAGATTAACCACGAGGAGGGGACGAAAGTCAGAGTCTTGTCTTACCCCTTGTATAAAGGCGTCCAACACGAAGGATATCCAAGACGAATATTTTTTAAGTGCATCTTAAATTAAAGTTACATGCTACGAAAGAGGGCCGACGGTTAGAATGGTATCTTACCCCTTTTTCTTTTTAATTTCTTAGCACACCGATCCAGGGCAAACCGCCCTCAAGGCCCAGGACTATCAAGTCTGCGTCACGATCATCGAGGCCAGACAATTGGCCGGCCTCAACATGGATCCCGTAGTCTGCGTACAAGTGGGGGATCAGAAAAAGTACACGAGCGTGAAGGAATCGACAAATTGTCCCTACTACAACGAGGTAACATCCTTATTACATGTCGACGAGCTCGACGTGCAGATTTCCATCCCTTCGACAGTGGCCCGCGATTTGATTCGCTCGTTCTGACAACAAACCACGCCGTTATCAATGGGATTCGATTTTGGCATCAGCTGATCAAACTTGCCGAGCTTTCGAGAGATTCCGGCATGCTGGAATCATTCGGGATTAATGTACAATCCAATTAGCAGGCTGCTCGGTGCTATCAGCGAGCCTGGGGCTGCGTGAACATCCGGACAAAAAGGGGGAAAGAAAATGGGAAAAATACACGCTCCCTCTCGCTACCCTCGTCGGAATCCTCTTAGCCTTTGCGAGGGGCCTCATTTTCGCCCACCTTTTGCGCACCGTTCGCTTATTTACCTGCACGCGAGATGTTTGCCCATAAATATGAACCTGGAGGCTGAAACGATTCATCCTCTGTGTTGAATTTTTTCCAGTACTTCGTCTTCGACTTCCACATGCCGCCAGTTATGCTGTTCGACAAGATCATCACCCTCTCGGTAAGACAACCAAACTCTTTCCTGAAATTAAAAGATCCCCTTTTTAATTTATCACTCAAGGTGTATTAATTAAAAAAAAAAACAGATTAAAGAAAAGAAAGAACGTTCAAAGTGTTCCAGGAATTATTTCACTCGGTCGTGGTTATATTGATTGGGCTCTCTAAGTAATAATTAAATCATCAGATAATCGAGCAGGGACTCGATGTCAAGTTTCCCCTCGAACGGAAATAACAATGGCGCTTGTTTCATTATTGACCCCATGGCGCCGGCTACATAATTCTCTCGATTACCGGTATTACTGAAACGGCGACCAAAATACGTCCTTTAGTCCGGGAACAGCTTCACGAGAGAAAATGACCGCGAGGGAAAGCGTCGACTCGATTTCACGCCATTTATAGGATAAATTGCAGCACTATAGCTCGATGCCGCAAAATGGCTCGAATTTCATCGGCTTTGAAATTCCGTATCCTGGTAGGCATTGTTATTCTTTTACATTCATTCAACGAAAGTGATTATCAAATTCGGTGTCCTAGTATGACCCTGAATTATATTTAAATGTATCATTAATTTCTGTGGTGTCATTTTCGTTACATTGAATTATTGAAATTAACTGTTAAATTCTGTCTTATGTGTAAATTTCGAGTTAACGAAGTCAACAGTTGGAGGCAGGGTCTTTGGGGCTAGAAAAAAAAAAAGAATAAAAACTGAACGTTCCAAGAGTGAGATTGCTCGAAATGCGACGATTACCCGTGTATTGTCTCGAAACAATGCACCTGTTTATCCGGGACGCGACTTTATGTTGGCGCGATTCTGCGGATGGCTGTACCGAGACAAAACTCGATGCAAGGCCTCGAGCACCGGCTCTAATTTGCGAGGAACTTTGATGAAAAGCGACTCTTTGGCAAGACCCAACAACGCGTAGAGAGCGATCCAAGTTTAAAGAGCCTCCGCTCCGAAAATCCGAAAAAGGATCGTTTACCAGCAGAATAAATCATAACTGTGATGCTTCTAACGACCCCCTTAAGAAATGAAAAGCGATAACAATCACGGCACGCTATTAAATTATTTCTGTGTTGATAATGGGAATTAATTTAACCGGCGATAATAATGGAGGTTATTCCAACGTGTTTTAATAATGGAACTCTGTGGATCAAGGTGCAGCAGTCGAGGAACCTCCTGCGAGCAAATTTGACTTTGGGAAGTTTCAAACTGGACGTGGCTACAGTTTGGTCCCAACCTGGTACGTATGGAGGAGAAAGAGGAGAAGGGAGATAGCCAGGGATAAGAAAGAAAAATCGGGGATTAATTCGAGAAATATATAATAACGCCAAGCGGTTTCGTCCCCGAGGAAAAACGGGTCCGTGGAAGCGAGAGCAGAGTAAATAAGGAGTTAAACGGATAAGGGGATAAATTGGAAGCAGTCTCTCTTCACTTTCCTTCCCCCTAATTGTTTGTTCTCGGCATAGTGTGGGTACGTATAAGCCACTCGAGCGAAGGGAGGAATCTCGTTAAAGCGAGGCTTCACGGTTGACCTTATGGAGCCTTCCCGTGGCTTTTATAATTATTAAAGCCGAGGAAATAGTCCCCGACGTGGCGAAGAGATCACCATAAATTGAATAATCTCCTTGCCCCGACTGTTTGGAAATCGATACGAAAGTTCTTCTAGCACGGGTCTCCAGAAATTCGGTCCCCCGTTTTTCCATCGGTATATTAGATTGACCCGAATGCGATTTTCCGGGAAATTGAACCGAACCGCGAAACAAGGATATGAGCTACCCGGGTCGGGAAAATTTCGAGAGCGGCTGGTTTTTCTCTTCGAGGACCCTGAAGCAGATGGTCAGCTTGTTCGGCCAAGTAGATTGGACTTTTAGGACACTTGGAGAGAGATTAATCGGAGGCCTTTTCTATCGCAGATCACCAATTCTACCACAAGTGGGCTCTTCTGACCGACCCTGACGACGTCGCCGGAGGCCCTAAGGGGTACTTGAAGTGCGACATCAGCGTTATCGGGAAGGGCGACACCGTCAAGGTACCCCCAAAAAGCGAAAAGGACGAAGACGACATCGAGGGCAATTTGTTGCTGCCCGTTGGGGTGCCTATCGAGAGGCAGAGGGCAAAATTCATCGTCAAAATCTACAGAGCGGATGGCCTTCCGAAGATGAACAGCAGCATCATGGCCAACGTAAAAAAGGCCTTTATGGGGGAGGTGAAGGACCTGGTGGATCCTTACGTGCAAGTGTCCTTCGCAGGATTGACCGTAAGGCGACAAAACTTTCGAGATCACCTAAAAAAATTAATTTCTTTAAGCGAAACCTTATTAACTTAATTTTTCACAATTAATTACCATCTACATTGATCTCCTTTCTCTCAAGGAAATTTCCTTAAACGTGTTCGACAAGGATAATCATTGATATTTCCCAAGAGAAGTAAAAATGAAAAACTACGTTTTACTTTCGACTATTTTTTTGTCCGATTGTTTTTTTATTCATACCTCGATGAGGTTCGATTCGCAGAACATGAGAGTCAAAGAGGTCTTAGATTAAATATATACATGTATTATGTATACCTTCTTTCTTCGAGTTTTCTTCTTGCAGCCCTCTTCGAGTCCCCTTGAAACTTTCTTCTTCTCGAAGGGACTCAAGGCAGGAGTCTCGTTAATGTGCAAAGTTTGATTGCAGGGGAAAAGCCGACCAAAAGAAAAGAAAGAAAAAATATTGAAAGGGAGCTTCTTACCTGTAACTTATTTTGCGATTCCAGGGCAAGACCAGCGTGAAGAAAAACAGCTACGCTCCCGTGTGGAATGAGCAGATTGTCTTTACGGAAATGTTCCCACCGCTCTGCCAGAGGATAAAAATCCAGCTGAGGGATAATGATCCAGTCCATGCGACCGTCATTGGGACGCATTTCGTGGACCTGAAGCATATCAGCAACGATGGAGAGAAGGGTTTTCTTCCCACCTTCGGTCCAGCCTTCATTCACCTGTATGGAAGCATCCGAGATTACAGCCTGATAGACCAGCACTCGACGTTGAACACCGGCCTTGGAGAAGGGATTTCGTATAGAGCAAGGTGACTACCCCCAAAAATTAGTCCCCCCAAAAATTAAACCAGAAGACTGATAACAGAATTTAATTCTCCACTCTAGACTGCTCGTCGCCATCCGGACCGAAATCAGCGACAACGTCGACATAGCGCCGTCAGAGGTGGAGGTGGAACCAGCGGTTCCGATATCCGAGGCAGCCTACGCAAAAAACGAGGAATTCTTCCTCTTCGCCACGATAATGGACGCGACCATGATTGATAAGAAGCTGGGCGACAAACCCCTGTACTTCGAGATTTCCATCGGTAATGCTGGGAATGCCCTGGATGGGCACAACGAGAGCTCCAAGGTGGACTTGCAGATTTAATGCTATCATTTATTATGTTTTGTATGATAAGGATGAAAGAGTTAATCAGGAATGAATTTTTTCCTCTTCAGGTCTGCGATTTCTCCTCTCCAGGAGGGAGCAGGGACGACGAAGAGCTGCAGGAGGTCCTGACGGGGTCCTGGCAGAGCACCACCCCATCTGGAAAACCGATGACCCATGATAAGACCTACTATTTCCTTCCCTACTGGGATGATAAGCCTTGCCTCCACGTCAGGAGCGTTTGGCCGGATTACAGGAGGAGGATGTACAATAGCAACGTCATCGGCAAGATCATCGATAAACTGGTACGATGAGTTGAAAATGAGCACCTGGAGGCCCTCGCAAGGTGAAGTACGAGGACGCTTTTCCAGGAAGAGGGTCTCTCCGAAGTGCAGCAGCACGTCGAGGAGCCCCCCGGAGAGAAGATGCTGAAAACGGTGCTGGAGGAGCTGAGCAACAACTGCGCTCGCTACATCAACATCAGCAAGAGTGCCACCTCAGGGCCCGTCAGGAAGACGAGGCTCGACCAGGAGAGGACCAAGCTGTGCCAGAGGGAGCTGGAAAACATGGGCAGCATGTCCAGGAACCTGAAGGCTCTGGTCACCAAGAGCAGCTTCAAGGAGAGACTGAAGACCGCCCACGGTTACCTGCAGAAGCTGAAGTTCCTCCTGGAAGACGTGAGCGAAGGCGCCCTGATTATTTCGATTGCACTTCTCTACATTTCCTACCATGAAAAATGTATTAAAATATTATACCATCCTAGCCCCAAGACTCCTTGCCGGACGTCTTCATCTGGGTGATCAGCTCCGGTAGACGAGTCGCCTACCATAGGATCCAAGCACGGGACCTCATCTTCTCCGTCGAGGAAGAGGAGTGCGGGAGATTCTGTGGCAAGGTGCAGACCATGTTCCTGAAGGTGGGTTTCTGGTACTTCCTGGTTACGGAGTCTCGGAAAAATTAATTCCCCATGAAGCTTCCAGGCAAGAAGCGGTTCGGCCCTTCGGGCTGGGCGATTCAGACCAAATTACAGATCTACATGTGGATGGGCATCCTGGGCCACAAGAAGTTCTTCATCCAGGGTCTACCTAAGGGATACGAAGTCAGTCATGAGATCAGGAACGCGGACAGACCCAGGTCCTTGCCGCCCTCTGTGATCCACTACACGGAGAAGCACGTGAGTTGGGAAAAAAAGGAAAAAAAATATATAAACGAGCCTCCTTAAATTACCTGATTAATCCGATTACTCTAAATAAATGATTCTCCTATATATTCTGATTAATAAAATTAATCCATGGAAATATCTCGCCCAGAAATTCCAGCTTAGGGCGCACATGTACCAGGCCAGGTCGCTGATCGGCAGCGACGCTTCAGGTTTGTCGGATCCCTTCGCCAGGGTGATCTGCGGTGAGTTTTCCAAATCGACGCAGGTGATCGACGAAACCCTGAGTCCGACCTGGGACGAGCTATTGCTCTTCGACGACATCTTGATTTGCGGAGCCATCGACGAGATCGAGAAAGACCCCCCGTCGATCGTGATCGAGCTCTTCGATCAGGACAAAGTGGTGAGGGCAGCCTCGATCGAGATCATGGAATCGATCGATCGATCTGTATCCCGGCGCTGTTCCTAACTATCTTCGTTTCCGGTTACTTTTCAGAGTCGTTCTATTGTAGCTATGGACATAACACTGCATGAGGGCTCTGCTTATACAGTTTGTATACAACATGTGAAGTTCTCTACTCACGACTCCCTCGAAATCGGTGCACCTCCCTCGAGATAACAAAAATGCCCTGAAGACAACCACGAGATTAGAACAATAATGACACTTTTGAGTCAGTCGATTAAACTAGAAGAAGTTTCTTTCATACCGAGATTCACCCGAACTACTCCACAGCTACACACTGGCCACTGGAAGTACATCCTGAAGAGCGGGGACCTAATTTCGAGAATGAAATTCTAATTAATACAAAGATCGGTCCTCATCTTCAGGATGTACCGTGCTTGTTGCTTATCTGCGATTTTTCTAAATGATAGATAGTATCGGGACGTTAATTAGTGGCGTTTCAGGGGAAGTCGGAGTACATCGGTCGAGCAATTGCGAAGCCTCGCGTCAAGGTGTCCTCTGAGTCTTACACACCTCCTCGTTTTCCGCCGTCCTTGGAATGGCTGGACATAACGAGAGGAACTTCGAGGGCTGGTGAACTTCTGGCCGTCTTCGAACTTCTTGAATATTCCTCCACCAAGGAGCATATCTTTCCGAGCCTTCCCGATCCAAAGGAAAGGGCTCTTCAGCTACCGAGTGGGGCAGGTCAAGATCAAGGACCGATTCTTCCAGTTCCTGTGGGGATCAGACCCACGTTGTCGAAATATCGGTGAGACTTACTCCTTCCTGGGTCTGTTAATGAGAAATGGAGGTTAATTTAAGGGAAGAAGTGAAAAGAACAAGGAGAACCTAAGAAGGGATCAACGAAGACGTTGGTTTTACGTTGGAGGACTTTCTTCAGGATAGAGGTGCTCTTCTGGGGCCTCCGGGACCTGAAGAGGATACATCTTCTGACGGTGGACAAGCCAAGGGTCGACGTCGAGTGTGCCGGGCACATCCTGTACTCCTCCGTGATCTCGAATGCCAGGAAGAACCCGAACTTCAACACCCCCGTCAAGTTCCTGGAACTGGAACTCCCCGAGCAGGAACTCTATCGACCACCCTTGACAATAAGAGCGGTGGACTGTCGCAGTTTCGGGAGGTACACCCTGGTAGGCACCCACACGATCAACTCCGTACAGAAATACACCTACCACCCGCAGACGAAGAGAGCCAGGGATGCTGAAGAGAGAAAAAAGAGCCTGTACCAGCTACAATGCCCAAGTAAGAACGCCCAACCTATGAAGCACCCATTAAAAATCAGTTAAAATGGTACAATACTCACCATTCTTCAGGTGATTCTTCAAGGCCAAGAGTCCACCAGCAACCTGACTTCCTCGACAGGGAGGCAACCCATGGCGACACCATAATCACCCTTGGCTTCGACCCCTTCAGTTGGCCGACAAAGAGGGACAAAACGGAGCAGAACCTTCGCAAGAAACAACGTCCCCCCAGCGAGGGGAGTCTAGGTATGATCTAACATTCTAAATTAACTAAACGTTGAATAGAATTAACCTTGAATTTCGCCTCCTTCAGGGGACTTCGGGGTAGAAGACGACGAGGGGTGCCAGGACTGGTGGACGAAGTACTTCGCCTCGGTGGAGGCGACGATTGAGGAGAGTAAAGAGAGTCGAAAGGAGAAGAATCTGCAGAGCCAGCAGAATGGGAACGCACCTTTGTACCCTGAAGAGGCCTTAGGACAGGGTCAAAATACAAACGCCTGGGAGAAGACCCATGGGTCTAGGAAGCTCTTCGGCCTGAAACAAACGGGAACGACCTCGGGGAGTAAAATCGGCTCCAAAGCTAGTCCTAAGCAGGCGACTCGCAAGCCTTGTCAAAGGATCGCCTTGTTGAAGATCTACCCCAACGAATTGGAGGCGCAGCCCGAGTTTCAACGGTTCAAGGAATGGCTGCACACCTTCGAGCTCTACCGTGGGAAGAAAACCGGCGATGAGTCCGAAGATGAGTCAAGGATCGTGGGATGCTTCAAGGGTGCCCTGAAGGTCTACAAGTGGCCTCTTCCGATGGACATCGTGGACCATACGGTGATGGGCTTCGACCCCAGGTTCGGTTTCTTCCAGAGACTGCCCTCGAACGAGCCGATCCACGCCTTGGTTCGCGTCTACGTCGTCAAGGCCAACGATTTACATCCCTGCGACCTGAACGGCAAGGCCGACCCCTACGTGGTCCTCCAGCTAGGTGGGAAGAGAATCAGCGACAAGGAGAATTATATCTCCAAGCAGCTCAACCCCGTCTTCGGGAAGTACGTGGAAGACCCTTGGTTCTTCAGGGTCTTGCCGAGTGCTGACGAGTGCCTCTCTTCCAGGTGCTTCGAGATCGAGGCCACCTTCCCCCAGGACTCGGTGCTCACCGTGCAGATCCTCGACTGGGACCTCGTTGGGTCGGACGACATGATCGGCGAGACCAAGATCGACCTGGAGAATCGGTTTTACAGCAGACATCGTGCGACCTGCGGCCTCGCCCGTCGATATGACGAGTATGCCCTGGGGAACTTACTCTAGATCTTGAAATTATAATTGTTTCGAGGCCTTATTTCATTTATCGTTTTATATTCTATTTATCTTCAGGTCCGGGTACAACGAGTGGAGGGACGCCATCAAGCCCACGCAGATCCTGGCCAAGTTCTGCAAGGAGGGCAAGGTCGATGGTCCAGTTTACTCCCATGGCAGGGTCACCATCGGCAGGAAGACCTTTTCTTTATCCGACGAGGAGATGGAATACTACGTCCACACGAAAGGTTGAAGGGAATGATTTTCATCTTTCGGTTTTTCACTCAATCCGTTTCAACTACTCGTCGACTCTACCAGGTATGGAGGAGCACCTAGCTCTGGCTGTTCTTCATCAATGGCAAGCCTTCCCCAGGATCGGTTGCTCCCTGGTTCCGGAACACGTGGAGACGCGTCCTCTTTACAATCCTGATAAGCCTGGAATCGAACAGGGCAAGCTGGAAATGTGGGTCGACATGTTCCCCATGGACATGCCCTTGCCCTCCGCGCCCGTCGACATCTCGCCCAGGAAGCCGAAGAGCTACGAACTCAGGATCGTCATCTGGAACACCGACGACGTTGTTCTGGAGGACGACGCCTTCTTCACCGGGGAGAAGATGAGCGATATCTATGTTAAAGGGTACTCCTTTGTCGGGTTGATACGTGCAAAAAGAAGGCCGTAACCATTGATACATGCATCCTTCCAGGTGGTTGAAGGGACCCGAGGACTGCCAATGCACCGACATCCATTACAGGTCATTGACGGGCGAAGGTAACTTCAACTGGCGGTTTATATACCCCTTTGACTATCTAGTTGCCGAAGAGAAGATCGTCATCAACCGGAAGGAGAGCCTCTTCAGCTGGGACGAGACCGAGTGCAAAATCCCCGCTCGCTTGGAGCTACAGGTGTGCCAGTAGATTTTCTCCTTTACCCAGATATTCACCTCGTAGATGGGAGTCTTCATCCCGGGGATAACACTTCTTCAAGGTCTGGGACGCAGACCACTTCTCGGCGGATGATTTTCTCGGCGCCATCACGTTAGACTTGAGCAGGTTCCCTCGGGGAGCGAAGAACAGCAAGCTCTGCACTCTGGAGATGCTTAAGACGGACGGTTCGGTGCCCACCGTGAACATCTTCAAACAGAAAAGAGTTAAGGGCTGGTGGCCCTTTTACGTGAAGAAGGAGAACGAAGAAATGGAACTCACGGTATGGTATAAAATTCCTCTGTTTCCGGATTGCGGATTTTCCAGTTGTCGCTCTTTCTTCAGGGCAAGGTCGAGGCCGAGATTCACTTGCTGACGAAAGAGGAAGCAGAGAAGAATCCGGCAGGATATGGCAGGAACGAACCTGACCCCCTAGATAAGCCAAAGTTAGCGTTATACTTTATTATTCGTGTATGTTTTAGAATAACCAATTTACCATTTGCTTCTGATTCCATTAGCCGACCGGACGCGTCCTTCATGTGGTTCCTCAATCCTTTGAAGTCCATCAAGTACATCGTTTGGCACAATTACAAGTGGGCGATTCTGAAGGCGATCGTTGCCATCGCCTTGTTGGTTCTGATTCTACTCTTCTTCTACGCGATCCCGGGATACTCCGTGAAAAAGATCCTAGGAGCTTAGATTTTCCTTATCTTTGATCTTGCGGCTCGTTCCGGGATTACTCGGCGGCGCACGAATTATCGTAAATAGTATGCAATGTTTTCAAGCGATGAGCAATCTTTGAGAAATTGTTTATTTTAAAATTAACTACTTCGGAGATCGTCGCGCAGGTTCGCGGCTGATATCTTTAACGCTGATTGTCGTTAGCGAGTTGAATAGTGGCTAGTCGAAACTGTAAGGAATATTTTTCAAGAATCTTATCGTTCTGACGCCGAAATACGGATTAGCACCGTACCTTCTCTGACTTCGATACTCTCGTTTCTTCCCCATTGTCACACGTACAGAAAATATGGAGATATTTTATTCGGACTGTGAATGTGGAAAAACTGTATTTTAGCACATGGAACACCAAGTTCCTACTAGACTGTTATTTTCTTACGGACCAAAAGATTGCCGTTTCTATTAACGCAGCTAGAAGAGGGGATGTAAATATTTAATTCGTCATCGCACGGTTGACATTATTAATGGCGTAAACGTGGTGCATCTATGATAAGTTGTAAATTACATATTATAACGTTTTTACTTATTAAATATGTTGTCACATATATCGTTCTGTTCGCAAAGTGAAATAAATGAGGTAATTAATTACTTGTGCTTTCGGATTTAAATCTTTAAGGAAACTTTGACAACAGTCCGAATCATCGAATATCATTAAAATAATGTCACTTTATGAATTTGCTTTGATACATTTCCTGTGTACACATTCCATGGATTGAGTTATTCTTCAACACTCGGTGGACAATGCCCCAAATTTATTAATGGTCGTTGGCATGTCGGGCTCTTCATCTGTCGAATCACCTGAACTTTCGTTATCTTCAACTCTCGTGGAACTTGAATGGGTTGCAGCGTCGTCTTCTTCTTCGAATTCATCTTCAGAGGACGAAGATACTTTTCCACCGATGTCATCATGGTCTGCATGGGCCCGTGCTTGAATCCATCTAATTTTCTCAACATCGGGATGTTGTTCCCACTTTGCTAATGACACGATCATATGCAATCGATCAGCCAATTCATTTGCATTTATATGCACGTGTTATGATGTAAAAAAAGATGCTGTGCTTAAATTACCTTTATTTGCAGTCCATCCAGGTGGAAATACGAATAAACAAATTTTTCCTTCCAATGCCATTCGCAATAAAGAATTTGCTGCTCTGTACGTATCCAACCTTGCAGCCTTCGCAGTCATATAATTTCTTTTACACGCCCATGCATCGCATATATCCATGGCAGACCATGTATCGTCATTGTCTGGATGTTGCAACCTCAACAATTTTGGTAAATCCAATCTCTCAGCTAAGAACTTTACGGTCGTATATGGTTCACGAACTTGAGCAATCGGAAAGGATCCCATCAATATTTGTAGTTGCTTTGGTACCGTCGAAGGAAATACCAAACCAGGGCAATCGCATAGGCACACAGATTTAGTGAGAAAAATGGTCTGGAAATGCTTCGTGTGGCCAGGAGTGCGGGAAACGCTCACGACTTTTTTACCTGTTAAAAGAAGCGGAGAATGTTTCATTGTAAATAGATCGTTTTAGATTCACATGTTTTAACATTTATTCATTAGTCATCGCTTACCCATTAATGCGTTTATCAATGAGGATTTGCCTACATTTGGAGTGCCGACACAACCAATAGTTAAAACACCATTTTTATATAACTCATGTTTGAAAAAGGTAGTGTCTTCCTTTTCGATTATAACGTTATCTTTTCTTTCTATGTCATCCATATCATATTCGGAATGTATCTCTTCTTGAATTTTTTCATGCCAAGAACTCAGATCGACTTGGTTTCCAACGATCTCTTTACATGTTTCCAATAGTTTTTGGGCTCCTTCTGCTGCCATTCTCAACTTCCCTTTTCTTCTTCTGGTTTTTAATCCATCTCCTTCGGAAACATTACCTCTCAGATTGTAATCGGGAAATGAAGTAAACACCAAAATTCTCAGCTTTGGGTATTCGGACTTGAAATAATTTTGCCACGCAACCACCAAAGCTGCTGGTGCTAGGTCTACTTTGTTCATTACTAAAATTATTTCCTTTCTCAAATCTTCTGTTACATAACGATATAAATATGGAGGAAACATCAACACTGGATATCTGACATCTACAATAATCAACAGAACATCGCACATCTCCAATACTCGCCACAGCTGCCGCCAGGTTTCCAAATTCAATTCAAAATAACTAATGTTCTTTAAAGTTTCAATGTTTTTTAAGTATTCCTGAAATGTAAAGTCATACGTGCATTACCCAATAATAGCATAAAAAATATACTTAGTTCAAGCAGAGTAAAAACAAAGTATCAAAATATACTAACGGTAAAGTATCTTTGTTCCCTCAAATCGAGCTGCACTTTAGACATATTGTAGTCCCACGGAGGTCTCTTTGGTAAATCTATTTCAGGTGGAAAAAAATTATCCGAAATTTCTTGTTCCTCCAAAGAAACAGGCTGGATCGTAGTTCTAGAATCCTCCTTGCGCTTTTTAATTTCTTCTTTACTTTCATTATAGAATTGAAGGGCATATTTCCCCGTTTTACTGCTGTTCCCATCTCGGGGCTGCTGATTTATTTTCTGTATAGCTCCCCTACTTGTAAGGTCGTCGTCATCTTCGTTGTCATCTTTACCATGACTATGTGCTGCTCAACGTACAAAAGTTGAATTAATCAGTATGCATTCGGAATAAAATATTATTTAACGTACCAAAGAGCATTCGGTTCTGACGTTGTTTTTTAGCTTGCATTTGCTGCTTTTTAGCTTTCCCACTAAATGGGGTCTTTCTCCTGCCTTGAGGCATGTTTTTTTTTGCATTAGCCGGTGATCCAGTGAAACTTCAGAATCTTCTCCACATATCTCTCAAGGATGTCAAGCTACAAAAAGACTGATTAAAGTTGTCATTTTCTAGAAGGACGTATCTTTCGTACCTCACGTGAAACGTATTTGCGATTTTTGGAGAAATAATGTCTCAAGGTCGCTGCTCCAATCTAGAAATGATCCATTGCCACTTTGAAAATTTCTGCTATTCTCTGCTGGTAAATGCGTTGCCATACCATACAGAGATGAGCTGGGAGTAGAGATGAGGAGGATCCCTGAGATGGGCCGCCAATGGGAGGGTAACAAGTGTCAAGTGCGCAAGCCGCTCGCATTCTCCATCGAGGGCAGCAGAGAACTATCGCGCGACCTTGCACGTGAGCAATCTCCCAACTCATCTTTGTATATAGTTTCTAGATCCCTGTGTTATTTTTCTATAAGGCCGCTGTGATTTCCCCCTTCCACTGTGCACTTTCCCGCGGTTTTCGTTAAAGAATACGTCTCGCGATCCACTGTGATAAGACGAAGTGTCAAATTATTGTTCCCATTGTTTGCGATCCATCTCGGTATGGTAATTATTGATGCGATATTGTTACGATACGGTTGGTGCGGTGATCCATTAATCTTACAAGCTTTGATTTTTTCCAGGTTATGGCAGCGCTCAATTTTGAGAATAGAGGAACTACTTAAGGCCCTTGGGGGAATGTAATTAAACGTTAATGTAAACATTATTTTAATTTCGGTAATAGTCTTACGCAACCGTTATCCTGAACATTTTTAAAAAGACGTTTGTTCTCTTTAAATTGTAAATACTTGGCGATGAAAATTATGGATGTTTCAATGAAAGAGGAAGATTGTACGATAGTGCAGGTAACCCCACCGAAAACGAAAAAGTTGAAACAAGGTATTTTTTCGGAGCATTACGTTGAAGTGTCTTTGTACAAATATCGTAAAAGACTTACGTTATTGATACATGGTTTATTTCAGCTCGCCTTCCATTCAAAATGATAAGTTCCATTGAATCGTCCAATTCGACTTCCAATAAGAAAAGGAAATTCAGTTCTCCATCGCCCACCCAATGTCGAAGTCCCAAACTTGTGAAGATTAATACCAAGGAAAATTCTTCTGACAAAATTAAAAAGAGTGAACCAGATGTTTCAGAAGTAAATCGAACTGAATCTGAAGAAGACAATAAAGCACTTAATGATACTAAAGTCACGGAAGTTGTGGATAAAAGTAAAGAAGAAAATGAAAAAAGAAGGTCTGGTAGTAGCAAGGTTAAAGATGTAAAAAGTAAAAAGTCTGATGTTAAGGAGTCAATGCAACATGGTGCTTTAAACCGATTTTTAAAGAAAACTGATGAAAAAGATGATGGAGTTGATACATTGTCAAAATCTACAATAACGTCTAAGTGTGCAAGTACTGTCAGTGATGATGATGAAAATAAATCCGATGGCGAAATACTTCATATTGAAGGAGTGCAAGACGATAGCATAGAATTGATCACAGAATCGGAATCTATACATGAAGAGAGTTTAAGTGTAGCAGATAAAAGTAGTCCAATTGGCAGCGAACAAGAAGTCTCTGAAGTCCATCAGGAAGTCACAGTATTATCATCAGATGACGAATTAGATAAGTCCTGCAATGAAAGTGATGTGAAAAATACACCTACTTCTCAAGCTAACATTAATAAAACTCCTAAACGGAATAGAACTTCATTTACAAAAGAGAAAAAGCTAACTCCTAAACAATTAGAGAAACGCCAGGAAATCGCTAAAAGGCGAGAGGAAAAAGAAAGATTGAAGATGGTAAGTAAATCTGGCTGATAGGTGTGGGTAGTTTGTTAAAAATTTGATTACTAACAGTTCGAAGTCGTTCAAAATTTATATGCTTTTAAATAGGAGAAAGACAAGAAACGAGAAGAGGAACGAGAGAGTCGAAAGAGGGAGAAAGAAGAAAAGCGAAAAGAAAGGGAAGAGAAAGAGAGATTGGAAAAGGAACAAAAACGGAAAGAAAAAGAATTGAAGGAAATGAAAAAGCAGATGGAAATAGAGTACGTAGGCTTAGAAATTAATCTCTTACCTATTGATGTTGAATGTTTATATATTTTTTTTCATTAAATTATACAATTTGCAGACAGAAGCAAAAAGAAAAGGAAGCAAAAGAAGAAGATCGCCGCAAGCGTGAAGAAGCAAAAGAGGAAGAAAAGCGGCGAAAAGAAGAAGAAAAGCTAGAAGCAGAACGTAAGAAGCAGAAAGTGGCTTCGACATTTGTGAGTTTCTTTGTACCAAAAAAACTGGAGGCGAAACCTACACTGGAGGAGGAGGCAGTTGTTAAAGTCAGTAACTTCATGCCCTTTGAAGTTAAAGCCGATATGAGAGTAGCACCTGTTACCAGAAGAAAATTGAGCAAAGAAGATAGATCCAAATTTGATGAATTATGCAATGAAGGAAACGAGTTGACAAAACTGGAACTTTACCTTGCAGAGATCAAGAGTAAAACTAGACAAACTCTTAAATGTGGAAAGACTTGGCCAGCCGAAGCTAAAGACGACGTTATCATTATCGGTAAATCTGCGTCGATTTGTTTTATTCATAATTTTTATTTAGTACTTGTTCTAAATATTTACTTTATACTTGAAGATGAAGAAGACGATGATACGTCTAACATCGTGGACCAAAACACCTTAACGATCGATAAGCATCGCCCAAAACTACTAACGTTCACTGAAAATCGTCGACCTCCATATTGGGGGACGTGGAGAAAGAAAAGCAACCGCATTTCCGCCCGCCGACCATTTACCAGAGATACGGTGAGTCTTTGCTGCATGATTGTTCATTACCATATACAATTGCTCGCTTACGTGGAACCCAGGGTTCAGTAATCGGAAACATTGAATTTCGGTCTTTATTATAACTTTAAAGTGTCATGGTAGAAGCTGATTAAAAAATACAATCTTAAAAATAAGTATTAACTGCCGCGAATACAGATGAGAGATGCACTAAAAATAGTCTTTTTGGTTAATTTCTCTTTCGGTCCTGTAGAGACCCTCAAACGCACTTTAGATTCATTAGGGGATGTAAAATTCTCGTGTCGAGGTAAAGAAATTTCATTTCGGCACATTCTCTTTGGTATTTTTCCTTCCAATCCGAGTGAAGTCCCTCGAGGTGTTAAACCTCGGCAGATATGACGTTTAACTTTCCGCCGCGAAATCCTCTGGCATTTTGGAAAACTGGATAGGCGTTTTTGCGATGCACTTTACGATGCTTGGCCAAGTGGTCGCTGCGGGCAAACCTCTTCGAGCACATCTCGCAAGGATAAGGTTTTACCCCGGAGTGAGATCTGCGATGTCTAGCTAATTCGTCCGATCGGCTGAAACGCCATCCACATCCGGACCACGTGCAGGCAAAGGGTTTCTCTCCGGTATGTCGACGGAGATGAGCCTTCAGATGAGATGCCTTAGCGTAGACCTACGAGCGAGTAAATCATTTCCCTCGAATCGTTCCTTACATTTGGAAAAATGCGACACGTCCGCATTTTATCGGATGCTCACCTTTGCACATCCTTGGTAGGTGCAAGGAAAGCAGCGATCCTCGGCGGCGTGGACGAGGCTCCTATTCGTGTAATCGTGAGTTGCCAAAGCTGCGTTAGCTGCAGACGAGACGAGTAGGTTGTCATCTATTTGATTGTTATTGTAATCTGGAAGAATCGAGGAACCTCCACTATTCATTCCTATATCCGCGAGATTGAGCTAATTAAGCCGAGTCAAGTCAAGGTACCTGTTCCTAAAGTATCTTCTAGTGCCCTGAGATCGATGCCGAGCACCAGCAAGGGTTCGTCGTGCTGAAAGGGTTGCTGAGGCTTCGGCAAAGGCATATGAAGGAATTCCTCGCACAGTGGATCGCACATCGGTGTCCTCTCGGGGAGAGCCGTGTTCCAGCCGCTGTCCAGACACCAGTCCAGCAGTGAATCCAACTCGCTTAACTCGCTCGGGCAACCTGGGAGGCGAATCAACGTGAAATTGGTGGTTTACATAAGGGTACCCTTCTTGCCGATACACCTCTTTGTGTGATCCGTATCGCTTACTCGAGGACGTCGAAGTACCGGTGGTCCAGTCGTTCCAAGGAACCTCGGAGGAGAAGCTCAAGTCCGTGTAGCACTCGACGGCATTCAAGCTGATAGAATGGTCCAACGTCTCCGAGGCCTCGCTCAGAGGAGTGGTACAGGATGTCTCGTAGTCGTAGGGCAAGGTCGTCGTGGTCGGGGTCGAGAGCTGCGATTCCGTGAAAGTATCCATGCTCAGACCCAGAGCCGACAGGAGCAGGTCGTCGGTCACCTGCTGATCGAACGTTTCATAATTCATATATCTCGAAAGTCCAGGAGCAAAGAGAGGTTCCATTTCTCCACCCGTTCTTCGGTCGCCGGCCAGGCATACTTACGTCAAAAACGGACGCGTCGCCGACCATCGTCGATTCCCAATTTTGAGCGCCTTTGACGTTTGAAGCTTCTTCGAGGCCTTTTAGAAATCCTCCAGGGTCGAAAGAGTCGCCGACACTATCGGAGTCTTTCTCTATTGGCGCGTCGAGGAGCGGGTTTTCGCGATTAATCGTCGTCGGCAGATTATCGGTCGTCGCCACAGCTGAGCACAGGCTAACGAGATACGCCGACCACTCTCGAGCATTATCCTCAGGAAATCTCGAGATCCTCCGAGCCCGTCTTCAGGGTCGACTGCGCGAGGGCCTCCCTCGCCCCGAGCTGAACCAGAGGTGGAAGCTGAGAGAACTCTACCACGTGACCATCATCCGGTGCTCGGATCGTCCTGGAATTAATATCAAGGGTGTTAACTTCTCCCGACTCTTGAAACCGGCCGGGCCTTTGGGTCCCAATAAGCGACCCTTAGCGATACCTCCGCAGGATGTCCCTACGAGTCTCTCCCTCAGGGAAAGGGAAAGTGCCTATGCTGCCAGAGAGAGGGCCTGTCGCCTCGGTCGGCCTGACGTAAAGTGACGTCTTGCGTCTCCGAGCGACCAATGGAAACTGGCGGGAGGTTTGGGACGACATTGGGACCAGCTTTGCGATATCTGCGGCTTGTGCCATCCGGTGCCGTCACCGAGGCCTCCCTTGGGACCAGCTCGACTCTCGACACGCTGCTCCCAGCCGCGTACGTCCAACCTCTGGATCGCCGGCAAATGGACGCGGGAGGCTGCTAATTGCCCGATTGCCCGATTACCGCCAGATATTTACGAGCGCGGACTCGTTTAATTGTACTCTCGCGTCCGCCGATTCTCCTCCGGGTCGCAGATCCCTCGGTGCAACGCCGTACCCGTCCGGAGCCGATTGCGCGATCTAGGGCGATCCCTCGCGAAACTGCCCCCGGGATAGATCAACCCATCATCGAGGCGCTCTAAGCCAATCCCTAGATTAGCGTTTTCTCGCGGGTTTTACCCCCCGATTCCGGCGGATTGACTCTATTTCCCTCTTTTTATACCATCCTATGTGCCCCCTGGGCCCGCGATCGCCCCGGCTGTTTTCGGATCCACGAGTCGCGACTCTGACGCGGTGATCGTCGATAGACGAATCGAAGAACGATGCACTTTATCTTCCTGGCGGCGTAATGAAAAACAGACTCCGAGCGGGTGACAGTACGAAATATTGCCGGCCCTATCGCGTGAGATGTGTCACTCAGTACTTAAATCTCCGCCGTGCGCGCCGTACGATTTAATTTCGATATTATTAATACCGCCTTCTCGCGGTAACACGTGGGGTGAATTTTAAGGAGCCTCCGGCAGGCGGTTGGGGTGTCTTTTTTTTTTTTCCCCCGTGATTTTGGAGCGATTTGTCGCAGCGAAAATCTAGAATGGCTCGGTATCGCGAAGACATTCCCTCCGGTGATTATTGTGGATTTATTGTTATCGCATGTGATTTACCATCGGCGTCAGAGCGCGATTAAGGCCGATTGGATTTCTGTTTCGACAATCGACGTCACGGCCCGGATCCACGGCAGAGATGATTCGGTGGCTCGTTTAACTGCGTCGAAAAATTTTCGAGCGACTCGAGGGAATGTCAAGAGTTCGTCTCGTTTGGCGTTATCGGGCAATTTGGCGTGCACTTGCGCAAGGGATCTCGCGATTCCATTGTCACGGCAGGGCGAGGACTCATTACGAGGCCGGGGTGAGACGAGAGCCAGAGACTCTCGACAGATTTCGGAAGAAGCCGACGTGACTACCGATTACCCTGCCTAATGGCTGATTCTCGGCTAAGGGGAGGCTAATCTCTTACGGGGCATAAAACAGCCATTACAGATGGCCCGGACGGTGACAACACGCCGTAAATTAATGGTCGCCACTTCACTCCTCCGGGATATGGCATTGTGCACCACCGACCGATAACCGCGGTTGCATCCATGCATCGTAGGACCTAAAGATTCTTCTCCCTTCTGGGAGCCCGGCTCACACATTCGTTACTTTCTATCTGACGCTTTCGGCTCTTGAAAGGGAGGTCGGCACCTTCTCCCTCGGAATATCTTAAATTCCCGAGGGAATTTCCAATGATGCACCGCCGAGGGGGTATTCACTCAGGAAATCATCGATTCTATCGCTCGAAATCGCAAACAGATAGAAACTGGAAATCAACGAATACTGTCGCAATTTTAAGGCGACTTGGAAGTGCCGTCAAAGAGGTATATAGTTTATGAAAACTTTTCCCCGAACTGGGTGTACCGAATTGTCTCAGACTTGACAATGCGAATATGGAGGCTATAAGGAACGCCCTGAAATCCATATTTCAATTTTAAGATAATTTCTTTATAGCTATTTTCAAGAGTTTCGATGACAAATGAGATTTCCCGAGTTTCAGGACCTACCTTAGGGTCTCCTTACTCACGTGGTAGAATTTGAAAGAAATTGGTACACCCTATTCGGTGAAAAGTTTCATAAATGATTGGCCCCTAAAATGCCCACTTTCACATCCCCTTAAGGGCCACTTGTTACAGAATCGCATTGTTGTTTATCATATCAAATGAAAGGCAATCGGCTTTCAAGGAAGTAAATCGTTTTCGCTGATTTCCTAGTGAATCGCGCCTGCGCTGTTTATTTTAAACTCGTTCAATTTATGGAGAATTGTATGCACTTATCAATTACTCCGGATGGATCTTAATTTTTTTATATATATATATTTTTTTCTTTTCTTCATACCGCGTGATGGCGATGGCGCATTTTCAGCCCGGATGGATTGAAGTCTACTTCTGCTCACTCTGATTATTAATCCGTGGTGTTTGGATCGATTATCCGTACACTTTGAGTCGCGTTATCGCCTCGCAGCATCCTTTGCTAGGACCTTGCGAGGGAAGATGTCGAGTGAGATGAGAGGCTGCGCGATTTCGCGTTGTATCTTTCACCAGCGCGTATCTTTTCGTGACTGAAACTGCCGGCAATGATCCTGGAGCCAACACGTGCACGCTGCACGTAGTATGCCCGAGATATCTTGGCGTCGAGGAAGTTCCTGCGATACCGACGTCCTGCTTATTCATGAGCAGTTAGAATGAAGCGTCTGGAGGCCTTCGGAAAGAGCGAAAATAGATAGAAAAGCATCTTTTAGATTATGCCCCTCGGATCAGGTACTAGGATCCTGATGGAGAGGATTGGTCACATTTTCTGCTCTCTTTCCAGAAATGGTTCGATTACGACGTCGATTCCGACGAGGAGTGGGAGGAGGAAGAACCTGGAGAATCACTGAGAGGGTCCGACGACGAGAGAGACGATGAGAACGCCGATGACGACGAGTACGATGTCGACAACGAGTTCATGGTTCCTCATGGGTAGGATAGCATATACTCGTTATTGATAATTTTACGCAATACGGATTTAACGTTTAAAATTTTTTTTTTTAATTTAATCTAACGCAACGTCGATTTTATTTTTCAGTTATCTATCGGATGAGGAAGCGAAAGCCGACGAGGAAGATTCCGAGGACATGGTACGTTTCTTAGCTCATGTGTGCTGTTTCGTGTTTAAATGGAAACATTTATTGTATAACTATTTTTTCTTTTGCTTTTGTTCAGTCCCCGGAGACGCAGAAGGTGAAGTTGAAACTCCTTGGCGAAGAGTTCGAGGCCGAGAGGAACGAGAAGACGGCGAAAATCAAGCCCAAAGTGATCGGGTGCATCTGGCAAGACGCCGAGGGTCGTTACCCCAAGAATAGTGAGTGCAAATATATCGCTCGTTTGATGTTTTTAAGTGGATATCTGAAAATAAACAATCATTTTCAGCTACATCTCACGTGGTCCAGTTCCTGACCGCTCATCAGGTCTGGGTACGTGAACTACCGGTGGTACTTCGCCCAGCTGCAGGAAACGAGAATCAGACTGGTCTCGAGGGCGACGCGTTATCCCAGAAGCAACCTGGCTCATCGGGGCCTAAAAAGAAGAAAGTGCCAGAAGAGGCGATGCCTGATCTAATCAGGTTGATCCACGGCAATACGCACGGCCGCGGCTTCCTGGTCAAGGAGTTCATGACCTTCTGGAACAAGAAGAACAAGCCTGGAGAACAGCAGATCTCTAAGGCGAGTCTGTTGCAAAAGATCCGGGAAATCGGTAGGTGGATGGCCTGTCCCGAACAGGGTCCTCTACACCTGAAGGCTTGCTGGTACGTCTCCGAGGATGCCCGGAAGGAGTACGGTCTCGAAGACATTACCATCCCGAATCGTTGGTCATACATCCTGACTCCCAAACGCAGGAGCGAGGTTGAAGTTCCCGAGAAGCACGAGAAGGAGAAGGACGACAAGGAGAAGAAGAGGATTCCGTTGATAACGCAGTTCACCAAGAAAGTCAGTCAAGACGATCGGAAGAGACCGAATCTGGAGATGCAGCCCAGAGTGGTATTGACCAAACTGATTCCTACACAAGCGAAGCCGCCGAAAAGGGCGACGTTGATCTCTGTCGCGAGGGGAGAAAACTTTCCAAAAACTTCGACCGACAATACAATAATGAAGTTCATCACGACGTGTAGCCCTAGTAATAAGACTGTCGACAAGGTTCCTACTGTCCAAGATGATAGCGACGAAGTTATGATCCTCGACGAGATCAAGAACGTTAATGAGAAACCGGCTGAAAATATTCAATCGTCCAAGGAGAAGGATGCGACCTCGGCATCAATGGAGATTGATCAGGAGGAAGGTTCGGAAGATAAAATTGCACATTTGGACACTTCTGCTGGGAAGAGTTCCAACGGCGTTCCCATTGTTAAACACGATAGTAAGGAAGTTATTAACGGAGAGGAAAAGAAGGAGCGCTCTGGCGTAAAGAACGAAGGTGAACTTAAGATGTCCGAAGGTGGACAGGGTGCCTTTGTCAATGGAAAGTGAAAGGTAACGTCAGACAGTTTTATTTAGACAAGGTAAATCGGAGACAACATCACAGTGTTGCGGGAGGACTTATCTTTAATGGGGAGATGAGCGGATGGGTGGAGAAATTGTTCGTTCGGCCAGAGATATCAGTAATTAATAATGGTCCGTGACGTTGGACCTCGACTCGTTAAATCATATTTTTGTATAAAAGAGAATTTGAATTCGTAGAGTCGGTGAGAGGGATTATCGCCGAAGAGATACATATATCCAGAAAATACGTAGATAATTCCGTTAGTGGAGAAGCATTTTACAGCAATTATTCACTTCGCCCTAAGATTTATATATATATTTCCGTTATTCCGAGATCATGTACGTCCGTTCTGTCCGAGGAAGGCGAATCATATCGCGTACTTTACATGGCTCAGTTTGCGAAGACGATCCTCGCGTGGGAAATAGGATTCCCGTGCTTCCGTACATAATGTATAGTACAAGTAGGCACTCTAGTATGTGATGTATCTTAATTAACTGCGAACATACGCGCCTTCGCGTTCACCTCGGTGCCTAGCTTTTCTATGCGGTTTACAGCCAGTGGATTAAAGGAAAAGGTAGAAAAGACAATTGCGACCGTCCCTGTTCCTCAGTCCGGGAAGACTTTCCACGTTACTCGACGCAATGCGAGTCTTCGCCCTCCACCTTGCTCCTCTCGTATTCGTCTCTTAGCTAAATAAGCATAAAATATCTCGTTCGGGCGGAGCCAGTTTCGGCCCGGTCGTCGGAGAGGGCCGCCGTAAGAGGCTCGCGGACTTGCAAACGAGCGAGGGCAATCATTCCTAATGTGGGAAGAAAGCAGTCCGCAGGCGGATTAAAGAACGAGGAACAAGGGACACGCTACCGGCGCCCTCATTTCCATTCTTCGCGGTCAAATAAAGGCGATCTCGTTGACACGCGAGAGGGGCAGCCTCGAGTCCTGCGACGTCCACGAAGGGGTCCTTTCGGAGCGGCTTTTATAGTCGGCACTTCGTGGTCGGCGGCACCCTCGGGGCAGCCTTGCCGAGGAGCCGGGGCATATGGTCGAAACAACGAAACGTGCCCGCGTGATTGCGGCAATCATCGAATTAGCTTTCTCGAAACTTAGGTGCACGCCAACTCCGGAATTGGGTACTCGCCGTGCGTGGATATCGCTCTCCGCGAGTTGTCAAGTTGTTGCGGCTACGGGCGATCCGGGTCTAACGCGACGTACATGCCCGCGTTATATACATCCCGTCCATGTACCATTCGAAACGGCGCCGATTTCCGATATCCTTGGGGCCCAAGAGGTCCCACAAAAGGCTCTCCGATTGGCCGCCACCTTTGTCGGGCACGTATCCTCTCCTACACGTAGAAGACGAGAGACTCTCCTCGTTCGGCTTACCTCTACTTCCCGTTTCCCTCGGGGCGAGTCCGGACCGCGGAGGTTGGGCCGAAAAAATCCGAGATCATCTCGGCCCGCGGTACCGCCGATCTTGCGGTACTCCTTACGAAAGTAATTGCCGACGATCGTTGCTCCCGATGGCATTTACCTCCCCGGGAGGTAAGGCAGAACGCTCGCCGAGCTTTCGAGTCTCCGAGGCATTCCGCGCGTCTAATTGTTCGCGGAGAATCGGTTCCCCGCTCGGCCCGGGTGGCGACGTCACGCCGACCCCCGGGGCGGCCCCGATCGACGAACCGGTACGGTCTTTCTTCGGATTCGTCCACCTACGCTGCGTCATTTTGGGATCCGACCCGCGACCACCCGCGAACGAGGAGACAGGTATCTCTCGGTGTCCTTATCGGTGACGACCGAAATCGGTCTCGATCCCGGTCCCGCAAAAGGTACCCCGTCTCGTGGTAACGTCCCATCTGCGGATGCATGCCCGCGGGTGATCCTTAAACCACTCGAATTACCCCGAAAGGCTTCATTGGGTATCCTCGGGTATCGTTTCCTTCTACGAGATACGAGGTGGAACCAGGGCATCTTCACGGTCTACCCGGAGGTCCGCTCGGGATTTTCCCTCGGCATGGTAATCGAGTCGCCTTTATCGGGAGCGTTTCCGTTTTCCCGTAATACCGGCGTCTAATTACCCGGAGCGCTCGGCCTTTTCCCGGCCGTCTCCGGAGCCGCGTCCGGCGCGGGGGGAGGACGGGTGGGTGGGACGTTCGTTCCGGAGCGGGTCTTGTTGCTTCTTTCCGGTCGTCCTGGCATGTGGTCCAGGAGCGGAGAGGAGAAGGAGAGGGAGGAGCGGCGGCCGGGGGGAGAGAAGGACGGAGCAGGGCGCCATGTCGTCCGGAGCGCCGGAGACGGCGAACGGAGGAGGACGGGGCGCGAGTCGGCCCGGAAGGGGAGGAGAGGGGCGCTAGGTGTACCTAGAGGCATAGAGAAAATGGTAGCCAATGGCGTTGGCTCCGCGTCGCTGCTACAGTATTGAACGTCTCCTACGTGGGGTCCAGATCTCTTTCTCTCCCTCTCTCGTTCTCTCTCGGTCTCTCTCCTTTCTCACCCCTCCAGGACTCCCGGCCGCCATCGCCTCGTCCTCGTCCTCCGCCTCGTTCCCGGCATCTCGTGACCCTGCGACGTCCTCCCTCCCCCGCGGGGTGGAGTGCCCCTTCTCTCACCTGAGGAAACGCCGGCGGGGGCGAGTCTTCGTTATCCTCGCCGAGAGCGGCTCCTCTCTACCGGGCGTGGAAAAACTATCCCTTGTTCTGCCCTTTTTTTTTTATTCCCTCATCTTTTAATCGGACGAGTTTTCCGCGGTGTCCTCTCGTAGAGGATGCTGCGTTTGAGACGGCTTCGCCTGAAAGAGACGAAGACTGCTGCGGATTCGGACCTGGTTCTACTCTGGGTTAAGGGGATGCCAAAGTGACGTCGAAGAGGTCTTGTTTATAAATCTTTCCTCCGAGCTGGAGGCACCGAGTCGTTCCATGCTTTACAATGTTAATATGCAGACCATAAGGATGGTCCTGCCACCCACGAGATTTCAATTCCTTGAAAATTGGTTTATAGGCATCTTCCAAATTTTTGATAAAAAATTAATTTTCATGCGTGTCAGGACTTTAATGATAGCTTATACATTCACGTTGTATTGTTTGAAACGACTCGCGGTACACTCGGTGCGCAGAAAAGTTTCGTGAACGATTGAGCTTTCGGATCCCCTTAAGAGGAGAGCAACCCCCGAGGGGGACTTAATCGAATACTCGGCCTACGATTGATGCCAAGGCTCGGCTACTCTGGTACCGGTGCCACGGCTTTACCGGTAATCGGCGCAGGGACGGAGCCTTTACGGTCAATTATCCTAAGACCGAAATGCGAGGCCGGGGTATGCGTCTGTCCGTAGACGCGTTCCTGCGTATATAGGCTGGACTAATCGCTTGTCGGCGGTTGGAAACGGATCGCTTGACCGATCCCGACGCCGATTCGGGAAGGGCCGAGAGGGCTCCGTATAGAGACCAGCCAAATCGGTATTGGTACCGTGGACTCGGGTTCGCTCTTAACACCGCACATTTTTCGCATCGCTTTAGGCTGCCGCCGGTGCGTGTCACGGTTACGTGAAAAAAATAAATAAATAAATGACGCTTACGTGACAGCGGCCGACAATGTGTTAACGAAAGTCCTGTAAATACTGCGAAAGGACCGGGAGATCGAGACGGATTTTTTTCGAAATTGACAGTCCCGAGTGCGACTTAGAAAATGTCAACCAATTACGCGACCACGTAACGATGCGAGATTTTTCATGCGAATCTGTTCGTGAGCAAAAAAAAGAAATTCGTAAAAATTCCCACCTTAGCAAGCGAAATTGACAGTTTTGTGGGCGACATTGAAATGTTGACCAATTACGCGACTTCTTAAGAATGCGAGATTTTTTATGCGAATCCGTTCGTGTGAAAAAAAAAAAAAAGAGAATTTGCATAGACTCGAGAATACGAGACCAGGGATCGCGCCGTAGGTTTTGATCGCAGCTCGCGAGAGAGATTAGGGTTTTGGCACCGATTTTCGGCTTTTTGGACTAGATTCGGTCCTCCGGGACTTTGAAGACGCGAAGATGCCCCCGAGGGTCGGCACCCTCCAGGGCGAGGAGGGCTGCCAGGCTGCAGCCGGCGAGTCTTATGCTAATCTCACCCCCGGGCCTCGCCCTCGGCCCCTGGGGGGCATCGCGTGAAAAAGTTGCTCGTTACGCGGCCACCCATAAATCTCCCTTCCTAAGCTCAATCCGTGTTCGCCTCTTCTTGCCGCGGAAAGCTCGCCGCGTCGGCGGCAGGTGCGTGGCACCCCACCCCCCGGCCCCCCGCGCCGGATTTTCATAATTTCCCGGTACCCGCCTCCGGGGCAGGCCGCGCATTTAAATCGCCCGATGCCGCCGAGGCCCGGACGTCGATCGGCAACCGGGCCGGCGTTATCGGGAAACGATCCCCCGCCGTGACGGGAGGAAATCCTCGAAATTACCCGGAAGGAGAAAGGCTCGCGTCACGTCGTGGGCGGAAGAGCCCGGTACCACCGGAGACTCGATAACGACGGCTCCCTCTTTCCCTGGACTTTTTTCTTCCTCCTCCCGGGGAGACCTTTTAATCCGTGAGACCTCCAGGTGGGATCAAGGAACAGGGAAAGCTGTTCCCGGGCTGCCACGCAGGATGATGTTTTTTTTCTTTTTCTTATGATCTCGGAATCGAAGGGGCGATTTCTCAGGGTGACGGGGACTGGATCGCTCGAACTTCCGGAGGGTCGATCGCGAGTTTCCGGGTAGGAGTCGCGAAGAAGGACGTCCGCGACCCTGGCGAAGGCATCCTCGCTGTCCCACTCGGGGGCTATCGATTCCTCGGCAGCCTCCGGGTGGCAGGGGGTGGCGGCGGGCCGGGGGAGGAGGAGGTGGGCACTGGCCGACAGGCTTACTCGCGTCTCAGGGACGACAAGGAGGTGATATATTACCGCGAGCCACCTCCTCCCCCGGGCCACCCCTCCGCCGGCCGGTGCACCGGCACTTCGAGCCACCCCCGCCACCGGCCTTTATTCGAACGAAGATCCATCTCCATAATGGCCCCCACGCCCCCGGCCCGGTGCGGCCCGGCCCGGCCTTCCCACACGCTCCATCTGCATTGTACGCCGTACTGGAAACTCGTTCGTCCGAGCCCGAGGATCGCTCGACGGAAACCAGAGATTTCCCCCGCGCGCCGCCCGGGGAAACACCCGAGCAACACCCCGCTTCCGGGGTTCTTAAATCCCGCCGCGTTTCCGCGAGCCCCGGTCGACGTGCCTCCAGGGTTTGCCCGATATCTCGCGCCCTTCCCGGTCCACGGATAGGCCTAGTATCTCCCTTCCTCGGGGATGAGGTACGCCGAGGGATGCACGGAGGACCCCTGGTCTCGTTAGCCGAATCTCGTCCGGCCGAGCGTGAGAACGATCGGTGGAGGAGACCCGAGCTGCCGAACTCTTTTTGCCCGCTCCCCTCCTCGGCGCCCTCGTTTTTTCCCTCTCTCGTCCTCCGACCTGCCGGCCCTCTCCTTCTCGAGCGCACCCTGGCTCGAGCTCGTTCTCTCCTAAGCAAGAGCGCCGCGCGGCAAACGCGGTTTAATCAAGGAAAGGAGACGGCGGAAGTGGCGGGGGT